GGGATCAGAAGAGGGCATTACCTTTGACGCTGATAAGTCTGAACTTATGCACTTCTCTCGCAAGAGAAAGCAAAAAGGGAGAGGTATCCGGCCCCCTCCTTCTATTGTGGTGGAAGGGAAGACAATAGAACCTTCACAAGAGCTCCGCTGGCTTGGTATCTTTTTTGACCCTCGTCTTACCTTCTACAGCCACGTTAGAAGGATGGCTAGCAAGGCAAAACTTGTAGCTAGTGCTCTGAAAGGAACAACAAACACTGTACGAGGCTCTCCCTCTTACCTACTAAAACAAGCTACTACTGCTTGTATCCTGTCTATTGCCTACTTCGGAAGCGAGACCTGGTTCCCTGGACGTGCTAGAGTAAGAGAGGGGCAAATAGAAGGCAAAAACAACCGAATTGGCCGTCATCTAACTCTACTAGATAGAGTAGTAGCTAAGTGTGCAAGGATTATCCTTCCAGTATATAAGACAACTCCCTCCTCAGTTCTTCTCATGGAATCCGGCCTCCTAGCCTCTGAGATCTCTCTTATAGTAAGAAGTAAAGCACTTGAAGCCCGGACTCGACGACTCGACCTAGCTCACCCACTAAAACGATGTGTCAATAACCCTTGCTCTAAGGCTAGGCTTATTTACCGTGCTCGAGGAGCCCTCTCTCTCTCTGAAGAGATCGACCCTCTTCAAGACCCTCCCTGGAATAGAGGGTTTGACCGGCAAACTCGCCTTCTAGAGGTAGGGGGGCCTGACTCTGGAGGAACCAAGGACTTGTATAAGGCTAAATTCCTTGAATTCCTTGCTACTGTTTCAACTACAGACCTAGTAGTCTACACCGACGGCTCTCGCTTAGACGACAAGAGAACCGGGGGAGGCGTTTGTCTTACAAAGGGAGGAATTATCCTTAACACGAAGGTCTACTCCTTTGGCAAGACACTTGAAATCTACGACGCAGAGGCTAGAGCTGCTCTACACGGCCTAGAACTAGCTATTTCCTCTACTTCCTGGCCCTCGGCAAGGACGTGCTGGATTTGCCTTGACAATCTTGAAGCTACACTTCAACTGACCTACCGATCCTGTGGCACCTCGCAAGGGACCTTTAATAGAGTTAACGAGTTAGCTCTTTTATACCCTGGGAAAGTTCAAACCAGGTGGTGCCCTAGTCACATTGGAATTCAAGGGAATGAGATTGCGGACAGAGCTGCGGGAAGAGGCGCTCGGCTACCTCCTCCTGACCCCCCTTCTATACTCTGCACTGCTACACTTAGAAGAGAAGTTAAAGAGACAGGGGTTCAGCTTGCAAAGAAACTCTGGAAAACCACGCTTCCAAGCTTATACAAGGACCTAGGGCTTAACAACTGGTCTTCGAAGCCTCAATCACTTCGCTTACCAAGGGAGGTTCTTGCTCGCTTAATTGCAGCTCGCTCCGGCCACGGTGACTTTACTCTTTATCACCTTCGCTTCTTTCACCTCGACACGCTACTTACTTCAGGGGAGTGTAAGTGTGGAAGAGAAAAGACTCAATTTCACCTACTATTTTGCCGGCTAGCAAATAGAGTAGCCCCTGAGCTATTTGCAAAGGCTCAGAGGAACCCTCAACTCCTCTTCGGACCACAATGCGAGGAACTGTTTCACAAGATCTACTATAAGACAAAGTTCTACTCTAGGATCTGTCCTCCTAGATAGTCCTCTTCTTCCTTACACTATATCTCCTCTTTCTACTGTTCTCTGGTCCCTGTCTTATATAGTTCTTCTCTTGTTCTCTACTCACTATCTTGTACACTGTTAACTTGTTTTTACTCTAGCTCTTAAACTAACTCAGAACGAGAGCTGTTCCGGAAGTGGGGCTTCTCTTTAAACTATCTCTTGTAAATTAGCGCACTTTCATTTACACCCCCTGTAGCCTAGGGCACCCCCCTAGCGTCATTTGCCCAACACTGGGACTTTTAGGACCTAGCCCACGCGAGTTAGATTCCACCTGACGTTAAATAGCAATAAATAAATAGATAAATAAATATAGGATGGATAGCAGCGGTGTGAGAACGTCTGTCTTGATCTCTTTCGGGTCAACTTCAATACAGAGCCTTATCAAGAGTGCTTGCTTTGAGCATTATAAAAGTAATTCAAGATCTCGAGAAATATCTTTTAAGCTAGTTTTGATTTATACCTAACTACTGTCTACCTTCCACACCAAGCCATCAACTCACTCTACCCCCATCCTCGTTTCACACACCCTCTCAATTCCCGCAATGCTCAATCAAGTCCTCATCTTCACTTCCCAGCCACATACCCCATGGTTTTGGTCATACCCAATCAGGCACCTTGAGAAGCTTAACCCCGCTCGCTTAATTCTGCCGCCTTAGGTATAAATCGACTTCTCTGTCGTCCTTTCGATCTGGAGCTCTTTTCTCTTTCAACAACTTTCACAACACTCTTCCTGCCCCATCTCCAGTCAACACCATCGGCATCCTGTCAACACTCCTCAAGGCTCGCCGTTACGGGGCGACCTCTCGAACTTCACGATGTCTAGCTCCGTCAAGAGAGATGGAAACCCCACCCGGTCATCCAGCCCCAAGAGCTTGAAACGGGCAATCAGGGAAGCCTCGCGAATGGCAGCTATGTTCAGCGAGCCACCCCGCAACAAGGAAGACGACGGCGTAGTCTTGTTACTTCCCGTCTATGAAGAATCACCACCCAACTTGTCTATCACTCGGAAGAAAAGAAAAGTTGAGCCCCAAATTGACAACAAGGAAGAAGAAGACGAGGTATTGTGGTTGTCCGATAATGAAAAACTAGAATTCACCTGATCGACCCTTGTCAAGGAAGAACAAGTTGAGATGGTTGATCTCGATCTTCCCACGGAAGCCCAAACTGAATCCAACCGCAGACCCGTCAATGAGTTGAATCAAGACCTCTTTGAAGAGCCGCTCAACAATAGAACACCGAAGGAGAACCTCGCAGGAGCATCCCACGTCATGGAATTGGAAGATGCACGACCACGCAAGAGGATCGCTATTCAAGACAAACCAGCCGAGATCACCTTCAACAATCTCATGGCCGATATTCGCGCCAAGCGATTCGAGCCACTCCTTCATAGAGAAGATGTGAGTACATGCATTCAAATTTGGCCAATTAGGAAACAGATTTCTGACCAGACCCATAGGTGAAGTTGGACAAGGAGCTGTTGAATGCGGCGGTCGCGCAAAGAACTCCGATGATGCTTGCTGCCCGCGGATTTTTAAATGAATTCAGCGTTCATTATAACAATACGGAGCTTTTTCGACATCTTCCTGATTACCCCATCCTTAACCTTTTCGAGATTGTCTTTGACATAGCCAAGCTCTACATAGCCAAGAACAACGAATTGGATGTGGTTTACACGGTCGAAGAATACCTTCCTGAAGACATTCCAAGTCGCCGGAACTCCATACATGGGGACCTTAACGATGAGGAGATCCGACAGACATTGAGGAAAGACTTGGGTGTATACGCCGATGACTGTAGAAACAAGTCATCGGAATGCCTTCGACAACATATGACTGTTGTTCAACGAAGAATCAACAATAAATACCGTGGTGGTGGAGTCATCGATCTTGCTTCCTTGAATACAGAACAAATCCGAAGCTTGTATGGACTCATCTTCGACATGCATCCGGTGTGGATCATGACTCGCTTCAAGGCAGAGGAATCCAAAGTCATCGATTTTGCTTCCATGTATGTTTAGTACATATCACAATCGATTTCTTAGATTTTGCTGACCACATTCTCTTTTTAGCTGGGCCTACGAATGCGAGGATCGTCTCAGATGGCGACGTTTCTACAGAAATATGTACATCGACATGATGACGCATACCTGGATTCTGCGTGTTAAGAATGGAGACCACAAATTCATTGTAGCTGGATACTGGACGAGTTGGTCTTCCCAGCAGAAGGTGCAATATTGGTATATGAGTAATGAATGGGGCTTGCCCATTCACCACAAGCTTGTGGATTTTGGAGCGTACTACAAAGGTGATCCAGAGGAGGGAATTGGTGAATTCGTCACGCCAAACTGATTGATGGATTGTCATGATGTGAGAGGCGAAAAGGGTTATGAGAATTATAAGGACGAAGACCGTTGACTCATTCCTGGGAAAAGGATGGGCATGGGTTTCGCCGTCGGGATAGAAGGGTATGACTTTAACTGAGAATTGGAATGGAAAGAAAATGGTCTATCAGAAAAATGCGTTGATCATTAGTGGGAAATGGATGGCGCAACTATCACATTGAAGGCATCATGGGATTCGAACTTACGGTTTGCACTCTTACATAGCGGGGTCTCCTATTAACGCACATGAAAAACTGGGAGTATACAAATATTATTATTACACAAATTTTTGATTATTACAAAGTAAGAGTTTAAAGTAAAAGACTTTCCATCGCTCGGCAGATGGAACGATATTCCGTAGAATGCTAGGTAGAATATTTTATATGGAATAATTCTAGAGCACCTATAAACTAGAATGTAATACTACTTTCAATTAGTCTCTAGATATCTAGGGGGTTTTCTAACTAATAAAAGAATAGTATTTAAGGCCTAATTATAGTATACAATTAATGTTACGGAACGTGCTGGAGTTTACCCCTTTGTTTACTTAGCATGTGACTCTTGCATTTAGCGAGACTCCTTATACGTTCGATATGGATCCAGATGAGTCAAGGCTGGTCTCATTCAGGAAGGTTTCATGGTACTGGAGAGCTCCTATATGAGAGTACAACTTCCACCTTAGCTAGCTTCTTTTAATCTATCTACTCTTTATATACCTTATTCTAATAATATTCTATTTTGTCCCTAATAATTAAATGAATTCTAGTACTTATATATATACCCCAACTTATAACTAAGCGCCCGCGATTATATACTTACCACTTATAGAAGTAATAAGTGCTCTAGGATCTAAACGATAATTCTCTATAATCTTGCCTTAAATACTAATGTTAGATAGGAGCTTTATATTAGTCCACCGGAGCAAAAGGGCTTTATTCTAGGTTATATAATAAATTCTAGTACAATCTTAAATAGAATAGAATTATTCTAGACGGGGGGTCTAGGATAGAAAGAAATTCAAGATGTCGAGCGTTAAGACGTTTAATAAATAGGTATTCTTAAAGTATCCGATCGTCTATAATTAGCTTTGTAGAGATTTTGCAAGGGACAAAGGTGCTTCAGCCCCTCAGTATTCTTACACTGTTGGCTGTATTAGCTTCTGGTAAAAAGCTGATGTAGCGTCTATATTTAACATTTACTACCTTGAGTTTCAATCTAATGCATCATACACTTATCGGAGTACCCAGCAAAGTTCAAACCACACATTCTCATTACGCGAGAATTAGAAGAGAAAACCTGAACTTTCAACAGACACGATATAACCCTTCAACTTCAAGCCAAAAAACATACAGAAAGAGCAAAACCTAATCTTATCCAACATATTCCTCATTAAACATCAGCACCTAATAAACCGACGTAATATAAGCGGTTCCTACCGTTCGCCACCACTGGTACGGAGGGCACTAAAACTAGTCAGGTCCAAGAGTGGCAAGTGAATCAATCCACTCCACCTTCTAGTAATTAGCACAACAATTTTCAACGGCACAAAAAACAAAAAACCAAGACAAAAAACAAATCCTAGACATCTAAAAAGTAACATCATCTCCTAACTCCTATCCAAAACCCACCATCCCAATCCCAGTAAACCCTCCATAGCCTCCTCCTCCTTCCACCACACCTCACCTCACCAAATTAACCACGTCCCACTCTAGCTCTCAACCCCCAGAATCCCCACTAAACCCCACTCCTCATCCCGCACACCCACAAACCCATCAACCACAATTCGAAATACAAATCATCAAATAAAAAGGGTGCCGTCATCCAATCACCTCACCAACAGCCAAAAAGGTCGATTAGTGTAGTCGGTTAGCACATGGGTTTTTGACAATATCTCTTCTCTGATATATATCCACATCAAAAAGTTACCTGGGACCTGGGTTCGAATCCCAGATTGACCTCTTCTTTCTTTTTCGCCCTTTCTCTTTGCTGTTCATAGAGGGGAAGGGGAGGAGGGAAGAGGGATGGATGTGTTGGTTTTTTGGGATGATTTTGAGAATGTTAAGCGAGGGGTTCAGATTTAGAGTTTGCTGCGCACGGATAAATAAGTGGGGTGTGTTTCTCTTGGTGTTGTTGACTAGTTTCCTTTTTAAGGGTTTGTTTACGGAGTATTTGTTTGTTTATTTAGCTGTTTAGATTACGAAGCCCTTTTCATTTTCATACTGTTAGAAGTACAAAGCCTAAGCTCGTACTATCTACTTCGTAACATGATCTCATTTCCAGAGGTCAAGAAAGTCCCGTCATTTGAAGCTCTGAAGGCAGGTCCTTGTTTTTATAATACAAGTAATATGTTAAGAAGGAGATGAGAATGGGAATGGGGATGTGACAGAATGGCTTCACAGGAGATATGTAATTTCATCTTCTCAATGCTCGCTTACCTTGTCGAATGGATAGGGAAGGAGGGAGAGGGTGAAGTTCTTGTGGTAAGTTTGTAAGGGACGGAATGGCAGGGAGTCTTACCGTAATATCGTCGGACTCTGGATTACTGGGCCTAAAGCTTATTTACGATCTAGTATATAATATCCGAGGGATTCAATGCTAGAAGTATAAGAAGGGGTACCGTACTTCGTAAGGCCTTACCGAAGTACTTCGTAGCTTGATGCTAAGCTCTGAGCCCCTCTGCTTCGTACTTTGAAGGGAAATCCACTTTCGTATTCCTTTTCCCATTTGGGGAGGACTTTGAGTTCCGACGTACCCTGAAGAGAGCTTGAAAAGGAGTTAGTGAGGCTGTAAGGACAACTCTAGGGGAGCTTTTTGGTATGGCCAAGGGCAAGATCAAAAAGTTCTGCGTGTGAGCTTTTGCTGTCATTGGATAGAGATATGGTGGCGGAACACTGCCCGGTGTTAAATATCCCCAACATTAGTAGGTACTTCGTACAGTACGAAGTATTACGGTAGGGTTATCCCATCTACCAGCATCCCGGAGTAGTTCCGGAAGAACTAATCAGGAAGACTCGATTTGCTATTCTCAGAACATGCGGTCCTCATAGACCCCCGAATCAACCTAACTGGCCACCTTGTGGATTTGGGATTAAGGTTGATGGACTCTCTGTTACCCGGTAAAAGTAGTCATTTTTTTTTTTCGATGTCTGGAAGAGGATTCGCAGTTTGACTTTAGGTAACTTGACATTCGTCAATAATTTCTCCACAATAATGACTTACGTGCCCCGTGTATTGGCTCCGTATGAGGATGCTGGTACAGTGGAAATGATGTTGTATGACGTGTTAGCTTTTCTTGTTCATTGCAAGTCGCGTGTTTAGTTTGCGGATTCGGACTCGCAAAACTTCGCATCCCCCATTCAGAACTCTCAACATCGAGAAAAACGAGGATCATCTTGAGGAAGATGAAACTTATCAGATGACATATTATTCCAACGCCGCTCGCGAGTTTGGAAGGGGATGACAACTGCCATTTACGTCAAGCCTTTGACGTAGCCCGAATAGGAAATGGAGTTACAACTCTGTCGTCAAAGCTTTCGCTATCTCGAACGAAATAGATTCCGAGATTTTTTCTTTTTGACCTCGAACATGACATGTTCCGGTCTGTGAATTCAATTCAAACCAACGAGACGAAGTTCGGTCAATAAATTGAACTCTCCGATTCCGATACACCAGAATCCAGGTCGCAAATTGGCACCTGCGTATGGTGGCATCTCAAAATACTTCGAACTACGTTGAACCTCGACTTCTAGACCTTCTGTTCCTCGTTCCCCAACTTTCAGACCAAAGATTCCATCCCTTATCCCAGATCCACGAATCACGACCGGCATTCCGGAGTGTAAACGAGAGGTTATATCCATGTCCCCACTTTTCAAGTGACGCTCTCCCGCTGCCAATGAGCGCCCCTTGGTGTGCACATGTAGGGAGTAGCCGTGCCATACGTGGCGTCTATGCGATATATTGGGCTACCAGTACCCCAGACCACTGTATCGGTAACTTTATATTCTGATCGCGGGATGTCCTTGTTCGGAAAGTATTAAGAGTTCGTAGTTCATTTCGTTATTTTTCCGGTGTCATACACAATGTAGACGATGTTGTCATACTGAAATGATCGGTGTAAATTTAGATGTTAACAACTGTTCTACTGACCAAGTCTCAGATCTGGTTAGTATTCCTGTACTTTGTACCTACTTACAACATGGCATGAACAGATTCATTTTCTTACGCTTCGAACGATACTTAGTTTGATACAGTATGTGTTGCTAGTCATTTTCGACTCATCTTTGGTTTCCGACCGGGCACAGATGCTCTTTTTACTGCGTAGATGCGACGAACTAGGCGATACCGAGTAGATTTGTATCGTGTTAAATTCAAATATCCATATCCGACCAAAGGGCAATGAGCCCGTGCCTCTTTGCAGCAGGTCGTCAACAAAATGTTTCACAACGGGAACACTTATTCAACAAGAAAAAGACAGAAGAAGTTCCAAGTGAACCATTGGAAACAAACAAATTTTAAAGTGTGGTCCCTTCCCACGTGGGGTTTGGCTGGGATCCATCGATGCTTACTTTCGTACTTGGAATCTTGCTATGCGAATAGACCAATGAGAAGCGCGTTTATCCGGAGTTTAGAGGATGCAGCCGAGCCATGGCCAATGAGGAAGAAGTGGAAGCGAGAGGTCTTTTTCGTTTGGATGATCGGAAGACGGATCTTGGACAATCCGAGAATGTCTGAATGACTTGAATGACGGTGGATAACTCTGCTGCAGCGGGCCCGTTGTAGAAGCATAATGCGGGGACGGAGTACTTCGTAGATGCCGTCAGCGTACAGTACCTCGGTCAGCCTACGGGGGACACTATACGCTTTGCAGAATCAACCTTCAACCTTCAACCTTCAGATCCATCGGTCAAATCATGAATTCAATCTTGGATGAGCGAGAACAAGGCAAAGGCAAAACTGACAGCCTTATACTTCGAGAGTGCGAGATACCCCCACCGACTTTCCGGGCCCTTCGTAAGGTCCGGAACCGAGTGATATGGCACAGTGTTGCCCCCTACCGATGTAATACTTACTCACACTGCCTGGTGCTGCCAGCGATGGTTGGGAAGGGCTTGGCGTACAAGTACGGAGTACCTAAGGAGCACCTGTGGCCTATAGGCTTCTAGAAGTAGAAGTAGCCTCGGTGCTCGCTAGGCGGGGGCAACGGCGGATAGTGCGTCCGATTTCTGATGGTGATGATGGGGATGCTCGGATGGTGATGCTGACATGGCTCGGTGCCACGGAAGGTGCTCGGTCAGCGAGCGGGCGCTTAACCGGATGGGGGTCGCAATAGTCGTATTCGGGAGAGTACTCACTACTCAAGACCCTAGCCTAGGTAAATTTACTACTGGTACAGAGTAATGACCCCATATGGACTAGAAGTAAAAGATTAGTAGGGGACTGTAGAAACTAGCGGTAGCTCCGGAGTCAGCTGTAGCCAATGAGTAGCTAAAAGCTAAGAGCCACCGCTAATTGCTACCGCTAGTTGATAGCATCCAGCATCACTTCTCGTGCTCCGTCAGAAAAGGGAATTCTCTGTACATCCATTCGAGCCATTGAAGGACTAACATAAGACTGGTACTGGTACTGGTCCTGGTCCTCTGGAGGCTGGCAGTGGCCGTCGATTCGTGGCCTTGTCGTTGAAGGGACATCCTGACCAGAAATCATCACTGTGCAAAGTCCATACTTTGTACTCCGTACTTCGTACTACGCCTACGATCCCCATCCCAGCCAGGTCGCGTACGGCGTAGCAGCTTTCCAGTACTCGTACCCGTGTACCACCCGCTACCGCTACCAATACCAAGCATCGCAGGGGCAGGGACAGGCACTGGAGGGGCGAAGCTGATCTCTGATATTATTTCCCGGGGCCTACGCATCCAGAGCTGGGCATCCATCTCTTGGAGATTGTTGCGGATCCTCTGCCTCTCCGCGGCCATTGATAAGAACCGCGCCGCCGCTACTTGATATTCCTTTGAAATTGGAATCACTCGAACCCTAACACTAGGTACCGCACGCAATCCGAGCTTCCGAGCTTCTGAGCTACCCAGTCCATCCGCCGCCATTGCAGCTCGGACGATTGCCAGATGGCTTCCATGACGTTGCCCCAAGGGCACGACATAGCACATACTGTGACCGAAGAATACCAGGGAAAGAGCCGAGAACGGGGCAATTCTGCTGGCACGTTGAACGCTTCCTCCGTTGAAGAAGACGGAGAAAAGGTCGTACACTCGCTGGCCAAAGCCTTCACCCAGCAATCGGTCAAGAACAGCAACGGAGAGCACGTCAATCCCTTCGATGGCTCCGACAACCCCCTCCTCAATCCCGCCTCGGGCAAGTTTAGCTACAAGGTGTGGACGAAGAACTTGCTAGGCATTCAGAGCCGTGATCCTGAGCGATACCCTGCCAGAGTTGCGGGAGTGGCATACAAAAATTTGAACGCCCACGGTTTTGGCGAAGCAACCGATTATCAAAAGACCTTTGGAAATTATCCTCTCGAGGCCGGCGGTCTGTTCAAAAAATTAATTGGAAGAGGACACAAGAGTAAGATTCAGATCCTGCGCAATTTTGATGGATTGATTCGCAGCGGAGAGATGCTGGTGGTACTGGGGCGACCGGGAAGGTATGTCTGGAGCAGAGGTCGGATAAATGGAATGTGGACATTGACTGGTTGATAGCGGTTGTTCCACCCTCCTCAAAACCATTTCGGGAGAAATCGATGGCTTTTTCGTCGATCCCGCTAGTACCATCAACTACCAAGGCATTCCTATGGAGACGATGCACAAAAACTTCCGAGGAGAATGCATCTACCAAGCAGAAGTGGATGTTCATTTCCCTCAGTTGACTGTTGGCCAAACTCTGTTGTTTGCTGCATATGCAAGAGGTCAGTTGGAACCTTCGCTTGACCGGATGAGCTCAACTAATCATACCAGCTCCCCGAAATCGAGTACCTGGTGTCTCCAGACAACAGTATGCTGAGCATATGCGCGATGTTATCATGGCAGTCTTTGGACTGAGCCATACCATCAACACCAAAGTCGGTAACGATTTCATTCGTGGTGTCTCTGGCGGAGAGAGAAAACGTGTAAGTATTGCGGAAGTCGCCCTTGGAGCCTCACCGTTACAAGCATGGGACAACTCCACTCGAGGTCTGGATAGTGCTACGGCTCTCGAGTTTGTGAGGACTCTACGATTATCAACTGAAATGCTGGGTTCGGCTGCCGCGGTCGCCATCTACCAAGCTTCTCAACCCATCTACGACGTCTTCAACAAAGTAGCAGTCCTCTACGAGGGCCGACAGATTTATTTCGGAAATATTCATGCAGCAAAGACGTTTTTTGTCAACATGGGGTTTGAGTGTCCCTTGCGGCAAACCACTGCCGATTTTCTCACCTCGCTTACCAGTCCGGCGGAGCGTGTTGTGCGACCAGGGTTTGAAGGCCAAACACCTTACACACCCGACGAGTTCGCTGCTGCGTGGCACAAGAGTGAAGACAGAGCTCAGCTCATGCGCGAGATCGAAGAATTTGAACAGCAGTACCCCATCGGAGGTGGCCATTTGGAGGAGTTTAAAACTGCTCGTAGAGGTAAACATCCTCTACCTCCATTTTTTTTTAAACAACATTCTAATCAGCCCCTTTAGCTGCGCAAGCGAAATCCCAACGTGACAGCTCTCCATATATGCTGTCGGTTGTTGATCAGGTCAAGCTTTGCACGTGGAGAAGTTGGCTGAGGCTTCGTGGCGACGCCACCCTCTTTTTTACTGGACTGTTCGGTCAAGGTGCTCTGGCCTTGATTATCAGTAGTGTCTTTTACAACATGCCAAATAACACGACGAAGCTCTTCAGTCGTGGCGCCCTCTTGTTCTTCTCTATTCTAATGGCCGCTTTCCAAAGCTTCTTGGAAATTTTGACTTTGTATGCTCAACGACCGATCGTTGAGAAACAATCCAAATATGCATTCTATCACCCGTTTTCAGAAGCTATCGGTACGTCTCTCGCGAAAATACCCTTATTCGTGTTCTAAACTTCCATAGCGTCTATGATCATGGACTTACCGAATAAAATTGGAACTACTATCATTTTCGATCTGGTGGTATATTTCATGACGAACCTTCGAAGGACGCCGGAAAACTTTTTCATCTTCTTCTTGTTCACGTTTGTGTGTACATTGACGATGTCCATGTACTTCCGCTTTATAGGTGCTGTATCCAGAACTTTGGCACAGGTATGTTCTCCACTTTACATGTGATGACTTCATCTAACATACGTAGGCAATGGCCCCGGCTGCTATTTTCATTCTTGCCTTGGTAATTTATACTGGTTTTGCCATACCTATTTCAAGTATGCACCCATGGTTTAGATGGATCAATTACATCGACCCTGTTTCGTACGCATTTGAAGCACTCATGCTTAACGAATTTCACAACTTGAGAATCCCGTGCTCTCAGTTCGTCCCTGCTGGTCCCGGATATGACCTTGTCTCGTCATCACAGAAAATTTGTGCTGCTACCGGTTCATTGGCAGGTCAAGACTTTGTGGATGGAGATACGTTCCTGCGTGTTAATTATCGATATGAGTACTCTCATCTTTGGAGAAATCTTGGTATCATGTTTGCCCTCATGGCCTTCGGATGCGTTGTCTACCTCACTGCAACGGAGTTCATCTCTGCTCAAAAATCCAAAGGCGAAGTTCTTCTCTTTCAAAGAAAGAACATGTCAAAAGCCGCAGCAGTTACCGATGAAGAATCCCAAGTTGAACACACCCCCGTTCAACTTGCTCGGACAAAAACGACACCAGATGCCCCTCCAAGTATTCAAAAGCAAACTGCTGTCTTCCATTGGGACGATGTTTGCTACGATATCAAAATCATCAAGGAAGACCGCAGATTGTTGAATCACGTTGATGGATGGGTCAAGCCTGGTACTCTGACGGCACTAATGGGTGTCTCTGGTGCTGGAAAAACAACTCTACTGGATGTTCTCGCAAGTCGTGTCACGATGGGTGTTGTGACAGGAGAAATGCTTGTCGATGGCCGTCAAAGAAATGCTGGTTTCCAACGCAAGACAGGATATGTACAACAACAGGATCTTCACTTGGCCACCTCAACTGTTAGAGAGGCTCTGAGATTTAGTGCTATCCTACGTCAGCCCAAGACTACCCCATACGTTGAAAAGATTGCCTACGTTGACGAAGTTATCAAGGTTCTAGAAATGGAGAAATATGCCGATGCAATCGTTGGAGTTCCAGGAGAAGGTCTCAATGTAGAGCAACGTAAGCGTTTGACCATTGGAGTTGAACTTGCCGCCAAGCCTGCCCTACTTCTCTTCCTCGACGAGCCAACATCTGGTCTTGACAGCCAAACAGCTTGGTCTATTTGCGATCTGCTTCGAAAGCTGGCCGATAACGGACAGGCAATTCTCTGCACGATCCATCAACCTTCCGCTATCCTCTTCCAGGAATTTGATCGTCTCCTTTTCCTCGCTAAGGGCGGTAAGACTGTCTACTTCGGAGAAATCGGTGAAAACTCAAAGGTCCTGACGGATTACTTTGAGCGAAATGGCTCAAGAAAATTCTCTCTCGACGAAAACCCAGCGGAAGTCATGCTTGAAGTTATTGGAGCAGCACCTGGCTCTGATACCAGTATCGACTGGCCCGAGGTCTGGAGCAACTCTCCTGAACGTGAAGAAGTGAAGCGAACACTTGCCGAGCTCAAACAAACCCTATCTCAGAAACCAGTTGAAGATGATCCAACAGCGCTCGATGCTTACGCTGCCCCTTTCTCTGTACAAATGTGGGCCGTTCTCACTCGTGTGTTTGCGCAGTACTGGCGAACACCTTCATACTTATACTCGAAGACCTTGCTCTGCGTTTGCACTGGTCTATTCATTGGTTTCTCTTTCTGGGATGCTCCAACGTCGTTGCAAGGAATGCAGAATCAGCTTTTTGCCATTTTCATGTTGTTGACTGTCTTTGGTAACTTGGTCCAACAAATCATGCCACTCTTCGTTGTTCAACGTTCTCTTTACGAGGTTCGAGAACGTCCATCTAAAACCTATTCTTGGCAGGTGTTTATAATCTCCAACCTTTTTGTCGAGATTCCTTGGAATACACTGATGGGTGTACTCATTTTCTTCACCTGGTACTATCCTATTGGTCTTCAAAGAAACGCCGTTCCTACAGATGCCGTTGCTGAACGTGGGGGTTTGATGTTCATGTTTATCCTCGAGTTTTTGCTTTTCACGTCAACATTTACGACTATGATCATCGCAGGTATTGAAACAGCCGAGGCGGGAGGAAATTTGGCTCAGCTCTTGTTCTCCCTGACCCTTATTTTCAACGGGTAAGTAGCGCTCATATTCCCGCATTCCCTTTCCTAGTATACTAATAAGAGTACAGTGTTCTCGCATCTCCATCCCAATTCCCACGTTTCTGGATCTTCATGTACCGTGTCTCGCCCTTCACGTATTTGGTCGGTGGTGTGCTGTCTACGGGTATGGCCAACGCCGATGTCAATTGCGCGACACAAGAATTTCTTCATTTCGACCCCCCAAGTGGTCAACAATGCTGGCAATACCTCGATCCATATATCCGCGGCAACTCAACACTTGGCGTCCCACCCGCGGGGGGATATCTCACTCCGGAAACCCTGAACGCCACGAGTGATTGCACCTTCTGCACGCTTGCCGATACCAACGCTTTCCTCGCCAACGTCAACATCTTCTACAGTGAGCGATGGAGAAATTTTGGGATCGTGTGGGTGTACATCATCTTCAACGCTGTTATGGCCGTCTTCCTGTACTGGCTGGCGAGAGTACCAAAAATCCCGAAGAAGAAGGTTAAGACGGATTAGACGGAACCGATTAGACACTAGTCTTCTCACTCTCTTAGACGGATGATTGTTTTTCAGCGATTTTCTTTTTGGGAGCGTGTATCATTATTGGACTCATTTCTTGGGCAGGAGTTTCCGGAACGGTTCACAGAAGCATGATTTTGCTCTTCTTTCAATGTTTTATTGACGGACGATTAAATCTTTAGACTGGGGGGTTGGTTGGTGGGTCAGGGCTAGATGGATGCCGTGTCGAGGCCATTTTCTGGTTTCTTGGCTGTATGATTTTGTGGGCAATGTGATGATAATAGAATTGGGATACCTAGTTGGCATTTTTTGGGCGAAGCGAGCGAGCGAGTTACGATCCATGGATTTGTTAATAGAGAATAGTAGAGGTGGTTAATAGATAAAGGGGATGAATCATGACATGTGTATATATACTTATACTTATACTTATCTATATTCGATTTCAACTCTGTCCGACTTGGTGTGAGTGAGCGATGAGGAGGTTGATGTGCGAACCATGAGAGCCCAGGATCCCCAGATATCCTCCGTCATATCAGGCGAGACTTTGACGGGCGAAAAGGTATCCCGGGGCCCATGGGCCATTGTAGGTAGAGAACCAGAACGTTCAGTACGTGTAATGTCTCCTGCTCGCTTGACGAACTTTTCAAGGTGGCGTGGAAGGATGCAGGAAGTGCTTCTTGGGGTTTGGCCTGTCGAGTTGGCTGTCTTGTGTTTCTTTGCTCTTTTCTGGCTTTTTCTGCTTCTTGACTCCTTAGCCTCCTCTGGATTTTCGAGTGTCTTATTCTGTTGGAGAGACATGGTTAAGATGCTTTGGCTGTTTACTAGTGAGTATCGGTTTATATTCCTGGTGAATACTGTTCTTAAGTGAGCTCTATGTATTCACCCGAGACTTGGGGCTAGATGAATGCCATGTATAACATTTGGAGTGGCCCAAGTGTATGGCGTGTTGGTGGGTGTTCTTAAAGGATCATAAGTTACAAGGCGTCTGGTAAGCTTTTCAGATTCACTGGCCATCTACATCTCTCTCTGATTCAGGGACCGTGGACGATAGGTAAGCTCAGCATATATCCAATTCACTGAATCTTCGTCAGTCCCTGGGGGCTTGGTTCATGTACCCAACTTTTAACTCAACTCATAATAGACCCAACACTCCCTTTCCTGGCCCCAGATTCTGTCACTAGGTACCTCTCATCAGAAATTCATCCTCCAGTCTACTTCAAACTCAAATTGCAAACCTGAAGGCCACACTGCCACAACACAACACCAGATACACACCTTGCTTTGCTGATTCCAGAGATTATCTTGGTCTCGTCACAAGCATTGTAGTGTATTTTCATTCAACTCAAGGTAGATATATCCCCGATCCCCGTTTTTCTCCGATAATTCTCTGACTATCGTGATGGGAACTTCAAGATGGAGGCCTCGTCATCTCCTTCACCAGGCAATTTTGGGCCCCAAAGTGTGGAGATTTCTCACATGGCTCCTACCAATTTACAACATAGTCCAGCTCCAAGTCTGGTAACCCGAGATACCGTCGGTTTGTTTCCGTCTCGCGGCTTGACCAAGAACCTGGTACAAATGGTACAGAAAGAGTCGTCACATCAACAGAACACACTCGAAGCAGCCCGCACATTTACCTTATTCCCCAGACTTTCTCCCGAGATTCGATTGAAGATTTGGAGAATGCACTTGGAGTTAGGCAGAGAGATTCTTCTCAGAGGGTATTACATGGAACATAGTCAGGGAACTCGTGCCCTGGACGATCTGGAGCTTCAAGCTTTTGATCCACGTTGTCGGCAATCGGCACTTCTACACGTCAACTTTGAAAGTCGGACAGAGGCTCTTAAGCTCTATAAGGCGTTTGGGGCAGGTGACATCACTGCAGGCTCTAGCGGAATAAAAAGCAATGTCACTTCCACAGAGAAGCTTCTAAGCACGGCAACAGAAGCCGTTGTCGAATGTACAGCTCCGAAGTCATTTTACAATCCAACCGCAGATACAATCATAATCGACGGATCCTATCCTCGTAGCTGGTATCCAAGACCAAACACCACCTCTCCCAGATATCCCACCACGCAAATGTTCCAGGAGATTGAATCGCTGGTCTACATCAACCTAGTCTGGGTTCGAGGGATGGGTTTCGCGGAAGCAATCGCGGTAAGAGCACAAGAAGTGGACAGCAGAGTTAGTCACAGGGAATACAGCAGAGTTGTCCAGTGGAGAAATTTCCGCAAGCTAAAACACTTGGTTGTCTGGGGCCTGACCTGCACACGTACTGAAGAGTACTTCAAGCAGAAAGGCAAGGATGCCACGGATGAGATTAAGCGTGGGCTAGAGGAAGAATTCGAGAAGCTTAAGATGGAGGATCCTTCTCGCTCAATTCCCGAGATCACGTTGCAGGTCAAGTTTTCGAAATACTTCCCGGGCTTCTTTAAATATGCTGGTGAAAACACCTTGGATTATGGGTACTGGCGGAACGGGTCGGGAGACTGGCGGAACGAGCAGGGTGAAAAGGTGACTAAATTGGGGGAGAGAATCGATTGAGATTCTGGGGCTAGCACTGATATATTGAGCTTCTAGGGACAGAAGAGAAATGGCATGTCAACATTATTCTATGGAGTATATACTCCGCTGCTTCCTGCAACCGTACTAAATTCTCGAAAATAACCTCGCACTATAAATCTTCTTTAATCAACAAAAATGGCAGTAAACGGGCTCTCAGTTTCATAGATGTGATCTTATATTATCCCCTCGAATGGATCCTGAGATAGACAAGTCAAGAAGCCAAATTATACTAAAAACCTCGTTGGATAGGTAGGTAGCAGCAATAATTCTCAGGCGCATCAGCCCTCAACCTGATACGCAAGCGATTGTTTGCAGAAAAGGAAAAGATGGTCACCGATTTGAATGAAAGTTTCGAGACAAACTTGATGGGTTCTGTTTGTGAACACCATCAGCAGTTGCCCAAAGCTTCCCCCCGCCCCCCCCCCTTTTTCTTTTCCCTCACACCGTGAATTAAACGAGGCCCAGGCTTGGCCAGTGCTCAATTTTTGCGTCGAATCCCAACATCGCCTCGCTCCTTCCTTCCTTCAAACATTGAAATCGATGTCGACCCCATGTAACGCTGCCTAAGGAAGCTGAGACAAAAAGACCTAGGTAGGTAGTTACCTAGAGGGAAGGTACGCTCGTAAACGCCTCGACCAGACCAGACAGACATCAGGAGAGGCACGGACCATATCGGTCTCGCGTCGAGTACCTAGGTATAAACCACCCCCCCCTCTTTTCCTCGCACTCACTTTTTCATGGTCAAAATTACCTATATCGCGGGAGGCGAGATTGTACGTGAATTTGGGCGCTGCCAGTCTACCGCCAACTTTCTTGAAGGCACTCTCAAGATGGGTAGGTGCCTAGGTACAATAGAGGAAAACCCCCATCTGTAAGATACAACCGTTGTGAGTTTGCATCCGTTGTAATTTAATATCTATTATAATTTTATATCTGTTGTAATTTTATATCTATTATAATTTTATATCCGTTATAATTTTATATCCGTTGTGATTTTGTATCCGCTGCGATTTTGCAACCGCCGCGCAACCACTACAAAATTGCAACGGTTGCAAATCCGCCGCACCACAGTTGCCAACCACACCCAGCGCACTATCCCTTCCAGAGTATCGAGACACAAATGGATACGATAATTGGGTCGGATCGAGGCTCAAATGCTTGGAACCGTTGCCTGGTTGGCCAAATAACTTGTGTTCTATGGGGAAGATGTTGTAAAAGTGGATATTCTACTCCACTTTTACTCCAATTCTACTCCACTTTGAGTGCACGTTTTTTTGTGTCTCGATACTCTGGAAGGGATAAAACTAGCTTACGATTTCAATGGTTGAAAAAAATGACAACCGTTGGAGCTCCGATGCATCCCTCAACCGCTACAGTATACTGATTACATCAGCTGCTAATCTAATCTGGTTTAAAGTTACGACTGTTAGGTTAGGTACTGATATGCATTAAGCTAGTTGCGTACTAGTTGTAAGGAACAACTAGCGTACTACGGTTTATTATGATAACCTTCTCGATCGCCAGCCAGTTAAAATATGTAACCAGTTGCAACTAATAATGATGATTACTAGGTACGGATTCCAAAAGGGGGGTTTTCATCCAAGGTACCTGATATACCCGAGGCATCTAGGAGGTAAGAGAGGCAGGCGAGCATTGCTCTGTACACACTATCAAAAGTCATTAGGTTAAAACTCTGGCACAAGTGACTTAATTGTCCTACCTAGGTATTTTACCTAGTACAAAAAGAATTGAAAAGTAACAATTGTTCTAAACTATTCGTAAAATTAATTTAGTTGTGTGAGGTTTTTAGGATAATATTTTTATAACTCTGGTATGTACAGAGTAATGCCCGCCTCTCTTACCTATGAAGCTAGGCTGACGTCGATAGCACCATCTTGATCGTACTGTTGGCTTCTTGCGTAAGTACCTACCTACCTACCCAGGTATTGTCATGATAGTGATGGTTACACCACGAAGACGGCAGCTCCAGCTTACATACGCAAAGCGGCGCTGGCAAGCTTTCTACAAAAACTTCTGCTCAAAAAGGAATGATATACAATCAATGAAACATGGAAATCTCCAATGTTTCGTATGAATTGATATGACTTACCTATATGGTGTAAGTGCTTTGCAGGAGGTGTTCCGTCAGTCTCCGTTTGCTCTCGTGCTCAAGGCTGCTTTACCTACTCGTCTCGGGATTTCAATTGGAATCCTGCGACGTGAATCAATTTAACTCCATTCCTAAGTACCTAAGCTAACGACCTTTTGAAACCCTAATCAAAGGAACTCAATTGACGTTCACATATCTGAGCAAGTTCAGATACCGATGTTTCGATCAGAAGAACCCAAATGATGACTATATGATTATTGAACTTCAGGTCTGGGACCGATTACTTGTTCGCCAACGCGAGTAAACTATTGGCAGACCCCGTGTACCACAGTGATATTCTGGCAGGTAACCTATCATCACTGCCAATTGTGAGGTTAAGCAGTTGACGTGACACTTTCCCCTCTCATCACGACATACTAGATGACTGCTAATGCATCTTGATAGTAGATCTCCGATTGTAATTGTCCTTCACCGGCCATCCATCTTCAGACGGAAAATACCGAGATCTCCGAGAAGATGCGCCTGGGTGTATGTTACATTGCATCATAGGCCTCAAGCTGTGTACCATCCAAGCGAACATCCAGTGGTGTGCTCGTTCTGAACCCGCCAGCTGCAGCATTTAACCACCTGGCATTTTTCTGGAGCCTCACCAAAGCTGGGCGGCCTCGCGACCCCTTAAATCGGTACACAAGTGTCCACTCAGATTTCTCACTCTCCCCATTACGGGTGGAGAATGGACTTGTAAGACGTCATCGGAGAGCCATCAAAGGGCGCATTCAACCTTCAATGGATCGGATTATTGTGCGATTACCATTCACACCAGCCATGGATAAAAAAGGTCATCACAAGTCGTACCATCTGCCTCCGCTCCCGGACGTGGGTGGTCGTTTATTAGCCGGGCGAACGTATAAAGTACACGCAAGGATAGGTAGGTATGCAGCTTCGATGGAGATGGCCATTGATTCATCCCAGTTTGTATGCAACCTCCTGGAGTTAGGAATCGGACTTGGCGATGATGGGAGTTGATTGCTAGGAGCTCTCATGTTGAGTAGAACACTCAATTGAGAAGGCGGGGGATTCTCTCTCTGGTGTTTATCTGGGAGAGCTGAAATTTAGGCCCCCCCAAGAATGACAGATTTGGAGGAATGGCCCCCTAAGTTCACTGCCCCCAAGTAGCGTCAGAGGATTCATTCCTTCTATTAAAGTTCTTCTAGCACTTATATATGTTTTCGCTGTTCCCTCAGATGCTCTTTTACAACCTCTTACAATGCATTCAAGCTGGTTTTCTTACCCCGCCATTTCTCCCCACAATATCCCTCCTGTTTCCTACTTCCCGCCTCATAACATGTCAGCCTCGTCCTACTCCATTCCACGTCCTACTCCATTCCACTTCCTACCATCAAAACGCTCCATCCAGACAGAGAATCAGGAGCACAGCAAAATGAACTCTCATTGGGCTTTCACCATACCAAAGAGGGGTAACAAAGGGCAATACTAGTCACCTTGTCACCAATACAACTCCTCCCCTACACCTCGAAAGGTGCTTGCATATACCCCGCTTAGCAAGCACTCCTCAGGAGTAAGGCAAACAGGCGAACTTCCCAGGATACCACATATCGGTCTCGCCAGTTGTCACTTCCCGAGGAGGTTCCTAATCAGTTCGTTCGGTGAGGACGTGGCAGGAGAACACTTGCACAACATTTCTCAACATCTCGACCATCGTCTGTTCTATCCTGCAAATCGCATTGGCTATCCGAGACTCCTTGAGGACATGGAGGCCCAATGGCACATTCGAAGGAGCTTGGCAAAGGAGTTCTTTTGCAGGACAATGTCCAGTTGGCTGGAAAAATTGGAGCAGGAGTGGTTGGCATGGGCATATGAGGAGAGGTAGTAGGTAATAATGAGCGGCTTCCCCAGTCGTAAGTAACTCTTTCAAAATGGCACCCCAAAATACGACAGAACAGCAGTCAAGAGCTACAGCGAGAAAATCTTTGAAAGGCGTCAGACACTTGCAGATGCTCCTATTCTGGCAAGATTGTCCACCAACTTTACGAAAGACTTGAGGCCGACGTAAGTAACCCCCGGAATCTTTCATGATTAGTCCTAATAATTGGACTGGTAGTCCCCCGAAAGCGAAACACAGACGCAAGCACAAAGCATCCATTGCTAGGTTCTTGAACTGGTTCGCGTATTCTCGCAAGTACCGTATCAAAGACAACGAGCTTCTCGAGCGGTGTCGACTAGTCAAGTGTACAGGTAATTTTACACTTTCACTCGGTGTTATACTTTCTAAAGAAAGGTGTTGACGATAATGTGTTCCTAGCAGCGAAATTCCAGGACAAAAGAGAGCTGCTTGAACATCTTTACAGCTGCCCTCTTCTCCAGAACGGGTACTACAAGTGCCCTCATTGTGAGAAAGAGGTCAAGATCAGAAGATTTCACGGGGACTCTTGCCCAGAAACACACTCGTGCAAAGAACGAATAGTCTCAGCTATTAGCCCGCTGACACGCCTACTTTCTCCAAGAGCTTCAAAAGGACAATACACGTGGGAACATACCAGGAATGAAATGGAGATCGAAAGAAAACCACTAGTCTACGCCAGCCCAGTGCAGCTAATGATGCATGATCCATACTGTGGGGGTGACTTTACGTCCGCATCACTCGAACTTGATTCCAGACACGTTGTATTGGAGCTCGGAGGAAAACCTAGAATGGAGCTCGGAGGACCATCTAGAATGTTGGAACTCGGAGACACCTCAGTATCAGCTGAACTCCAAGGTTCTCCTCTGGATTCAATTTTAGAACACTGCCACTAAACCATACCGGCTGATCAAAACAAATCTTATCCAACCCCTTTTAACCCTTCTTCTTCGATGGAGAACAGCTTCAGTGGTCCAGATTTTGGCCTCCAAATAATCCCCTCTGGAATGGATTTCAAAGCAGATCACCAAACACAATATATGTTTCCACTCCCGATAGCTCAAAACTCATGCCAGTCCCATGAAGGTCATCAAGGATCACCACCGGTGCCATCAACGCTCTTCCATGGGAGATCCGGAAGCACATCGTCAACTGACAGCTCTCCATCTTCAGGTACAATGACGACGACTTCAACTATGTCCGACTCCTCCCTTGTAACCCCATCCAGCGATAACCCTCACCATCCAGGCTCGATGGACTTCTAACAACCAGGGTCTAATAATTATACACCATCTACACCTGTGAAGACTTGGTTAGGTGTAACCCCAAATGAGAATTGGCCTTACAGAGCCATCCAGCTCCGACAGTCCTTGGAATATCAAGCTCCAGTCTATGAGCATGGGGAGTTCATAGACATAGCACCGACTTCTGCTTCTGATCCTCACGGCATGTCTAAGACAAGGGCTTCTCGTCATATCAGCATCTCGTACGAGGACAACGAAAAGGTTTACGGTCATTTCCCTATAGGTAATCCATTCGCCAATTTGTTGCCTCGGGAACAACAAGCCATTCTCCTATTCCCGGACCTGAAAACGAACACCCCAAAAGCCCAAAAGCCACAAAATCCTTACACGTGTGTTTGTGGTTTTGAATTCAGCGGAAAGGAACCGAACAAGGTCTCAAATCTCAAACGTCATCAAGACACTTGCTCGACAATGTTGAACAACGTTCCACCATCCAAGAAGTTCAAATGCAACTTTCCTGGATGTGATAAAGCGTATACCCGTTCTGACAATTTGCTGCTAAGTAAAGGAGCCGAAATTCTGTTCCTTACTTCAATTACTCAAAGAGAGAACAGATTCTAATAAATTGACAGGTACATAAACGCAACAAAAGCCATATGAGTGAAGTCACTTTGGAAGTCACTGAGTCTATTTTCTTGGACCAACTTATCGACTCAAGCTTTGAAGACGCGGATAGGGAATTCAACAACTTGAACGATAATTCTTTTGATGATGCTGTTGATATGACCTTTTTTCATGGGGATCAGGTCTAGAGTTTCAATTCGCCTGAGAGCAATTGTGATAGACAAGATCGCTGGATATCACGGCGGTATCATCATTTTATTGTTGGAAACCGTGTGAAAGACGCTTGCCTATCTGGAGCCTCTGGTTGACCAAAAGTCTGCTCAACGGCAATCAATGACTGTTCCTCTGCAAAAGATTTGCAATTCTAATGGTATAGCCACGAGTCTGTGACTCACTGCGAAATTCCAAGGGTTGGTGGAGGGCTGGTCTCTTTGTGTTGTCATTTCCTTATTCCTTATTTCTATGGGAAAATTTTTCGACTCAGGGATGTCGATGTCATAATCTTTAATACTTTTCGTTTGGTTCTGAAGTAATTTGGCTGGTTTCGTGAAAGGGGGAGGGGGGTTGTTATCGCCACTCGGCCCCGACTTAATGTAGCTGTCAATGAGGGTCAGGATCTTAGGTCTTTCTATTATAGCAATCATAGTAACCTTCCGTTTCCGATAAATTTACTGCTACTCTAGCAGATGATTTCTGCCTCATTGAGTGACTGTGGCGAACAATGCTCTCCATTCGAGATGATATTCTGTGGATATTTCAAACACGAAACAATTATGCAGTAACCAACTCCTCTGGTGTACTGAAACCTTTCATTGAGGTTACCATAACCTACCTATATCAACTAATCTGCTTCAATGCTTTGGATTCCAGTAGATGGCTGAAACTACTGTACTGAAGAAGAAGCAAAAAAGGCCAATAAATTGTGGACTCTAATCTTTGAACCCCCCTCTCCCCCCTTAAAAGCTTTGACAGCCCTTGTGCAATTACAACAACCCAATACTGTCCATCTTTGGAAGTAATAACCTTGTTTGTAATATCAAGTACCTGAGATTTCATCTATTGATGATTGTTAGTTGAATTTTGTAGAGGTTTCCAAACACCACACTGCACTTAACTGTCATGTATCACTAGATAATCTCCTTCATCAAATATGTTCCACTAGACACCAGAAAGGTCCAGGAAGTATTAGATCCAAACTTGGTCCTTGTTTGAGGAGATATGCCATAATATCCTGGTCCGCGGATACCTTAGCTAATCAGTTTCACCGCCACTCCTTCCATTCACAACCTCCACAAATACTCCATCCTCAGTTATGTCTTCAGTCACCGAGTGTTACTCATACCACCTTCCCATGATTCACATGCGTTCTCAGGATACTAAAATCCTTCAGATAATGGCCGGAATGTGATTGGTTCTCCTGGACACGACGTCCAAATACCCTTCTCATGCTCTACTGCAGGTACCCTCCTTCAATGCACCAGGGGTTTTAGGCTGTGCTCCTTATTTGACGACCAGGATTTCGGGTTTCTTGGCTATGTGAAGCTTCCTGGCTCGCATGATCGCCTTACCAGAAACCCGGCTTTCGTCACCAAAGCGTGACCTGAGGTTCACAGAGCTCACAACTTACGATTCGCCTGAATCGTTCTTCCCAACCCCTTCAAGGAGAATGAGAAATTGCAATTTTCATTTCCTCAGATGGGATTCCTGAAATCAGGAAGCCGGATTTTTGCTATGGCACTCCTTCGTCCTTTGTATCTCGTCCTGCATCCTGAGTCCTTGAGGCTCCAACTGTGAACATGAACAGGAATAACAGAACATAGGTAATGATAACTCTTCTCTATTAATATGTATATAGACACAGCCCCCAAGAGATGAATCCTTCCATCAGAAACTAAGACATCCGATCCATCACTTCTCGAGTATCAACCATCAACCAACAAGTCACACAGCCTCCTGCAACACTCTATCTCCCTCAAACCAATCAAACCTCCATCCGAGAATGTCAGGAAGCGGAAACAACTACAGCAACCAAACAAACCAAGGGTTCGTCAAGTCACCCTACATCTTTCTCTTACATCCCCCCTCTCCCCCATTCCCCGACCCCAAGAACTAACTATATCCTCATAGCGGAGGTAACTCCTACTACCAATCCCAAGACCAATACTACCAATCGGGGTCCTCTCAATCCCAGTCCTACTCAGGACCCTACTTCGCGCCCCCTTTCACCTCCGAGAACATCGGGAAGTACGATCAAAGTCAGGGAGGGTACTCCAGTACCGACTATTACTTGCACGAAGATAAGGACCAGGATTTTGAGAGGGTGGCGCAGGGGATACCCGATTCTTCAAAAGGGAAAGGTTCGAAGGGTTCTAAGAGATCAAAATCTAAGGGGTCTAAGAGGAGATAGTTGGTTAGTTGTGAAGAAGAGAGGGGTACAGGAAAATGAGAGGATGGAAGGAAAGTCATTGCCCTTTTTAGCCGAGTTTCTTTATGCTTTGATTTTACTTGACGTGGTGTCGTGAAGGAATTAATGGAGGTTGAAAAGCGGAAACCAGTTTTTGCTTTCTTCAAGGCCCGGAGGAGGGAAGCTGAATTCTGGAAGTGTTGTCTTGCGTAATGAAATGCCTCGCTTTGGCGGAAGTCACAAATTTAAACAACTACAATAAAACCTCTCTCTATTTCCAAGTCTGGCGTTGCAACATAAATATAAACTGAGCTCAACCTATCGATATAAGTCTAGTCAAAGTAACTTTCTGGCATACCCCAAAGACCATCGTGGTTCGAGTTATGCGGAAGGTGAAAGAAATGAACCCGAAAAAATGACAAGCCACAACCTCAAAGAAGAGTAAACCACGAGCATATACGAGCAGCTAGCTTACAACTGCATTTTCAGAAATTTTCGAATTATTCTACTGCCTCGTTATGCACTCTACGAGATCCTCTATTAGAATAGCATAAAAAAGGAGCAGCCGTTTGCCCCGCCAAAGTCCACAGATTAATCTGCCCGCTCCTAACCATTCCAGGGCCTCCTCCCCCCCAATGCAAAGAATTCACACCCCGAAAGATTTGCAAAGGTCGATATGGCTATAACCAACCCATCGATATCGTAAAGATTTTCCAGAAACAAAATGACACAAGCGGTCCTATGCCTTCCCTTCTCCCAAAACATCATTTCCACCACCCTGCCCTCTCCAAAGACAAAAAGAGAATATGCAGGCTCTCCACTACTTCCGTAGGTATAAGAATAAAGTAAGCTTGAGAAGAACTCATGCTTTTCTCCATCAAACCACCCAGTAAATAAAGGCCAGAAAAGAGAAGAAGAAAACTAGGCTCTTCCCTACCGATTTGGCTGCCTCTCATACGCAATAAGATAAGCCTGATCCTGCTGCGTCCTGGGAAATGCACAAGAAATTACTCTGGTGTCGTTGAATTCATGCCAGCCAAGCCCTTTATCCATATGCCTAGCAACGGTATAGAAATGCCCACGATCAGCAGTGGAGCCAACATGAACAACAGCGGCAATGGCTCTGTATTTGAAAGGAGCAGTTTGTTCGGGGAAGCCCTCAGTCATACCATCCATGGGAATAAAATACCTTCCGAGGTCAAGATCTTCCTCTGGAAACTGAATCCGGTTAGTCCATTTTCTGCCATTTAACCTGACTCTGTTAATCTGAACGACAACTATGGGTGGTAGGGCGCTCAAGTACAGTGTGTGCGTTAATCCCTTTGTGGCGCCGCATTTAGGACAGGAGGCGCCGTCTGCGTCCGTAGTGGCGAGTGGGCCGTAAGCCACGTCCAGAAGATTTTCCAGCTGGTAGACCATGCCCGAGCGGGTATTTTCTCCTAATCTGGCTTGAATTTCAGAGATCATATTATGTGATCGACTTGTGTAATTACAATTCTCGCATTTGAACTCTGTAGTCTCTTGTCCCATCAACTGGCTGAACAGGATTGATTTATTCTCGGCTTGGTGTTTCATCCACCCTTTCTCAGCCGCGAGACCGGGTGGGCCGAGATCTTGCCTGTCCTTTTCTGCATCGGAGACGTTCTGGACGGGAATCATTGATTCGTTCATCTCTCTTGACAGTATATCCATCACAAAGTGTAGAAATTCTGATGCATCATGCTGTCTGTATGAACCTCCATATGCATTCAATCTTTCATCGTGATCAGCAACCATCCCTAAATGAACAGCATTGACATACGACTGAAACTATTAGTGGTTGTGTCTGACGCAATAAGCAGGAGACTTACCGCAAAGGTTTTGGGGGTTATCCAATGGTATTGACCGCTCCATAAGGCCTTAAAAACATTTGCGAGAGTCCTCAGCATCAATAATGGCTTTCGTTCACCATCCATCGCGATGGGTTGGTCGTTGGTGGGATACTTGAACCCTAGTAGATAGTCTCGAAGCGGATGTAAGCTACTGATAAATTGGATGGAGCTATTCATGTAGCAGAGAATTCCAGGGTTGCTCAACCCCGTAAGACCGGGAGTTACAAGATTGTTGGTGATTCCCTGGTTGCTTAAATTGACCGCGTGAGCGGCTGCGTATATAGTAGATGGACCTCGTTCCGTGATTCCACTGGATCTTTGCCTTGGCAAAGCCGGAGGAGGTCGAGTGGGAGGTGGAACAGTACTCATCAACTCATCTTCGTATAATGGCAACGGCTGCGGCGATGAGGCGATAGAAGTTGAGGACATGGACTCTTGTAATTTTGATATGTCGGGAAATCGCCGGAGAAAGTCATCAGTTGTTCTCACATAGAATTGCTCGTCAGGTGCAGCTGGATCTGCTTCGATCGGTCTCCCAATTACAGAATCCACCTTGATGGTCTCATCCCATTTGGATACTTCGTCTTTGGTCAAGCGACGTAACTCAACTTTGCGGCGCACAGCTGTATCTCTTCCACGAATTGCATCGACCCGATTTAGAGATCTAGTCATTATCTCCTGAGCTGAGGTCGTTGTTCGTGAATTTGAGAGAGCGGTAACCATCAACGCATTCTCACCCATATAATCGACCCACGCGTCTAAGCCCCCTACTAGGAGCATGGGGCGGCGTTTGAGACGCTTTTCGTACGCAAAATCCCAAACGGCCTTGGAAAATATATGCACCGCATCCTTGGTATCGTCTCCAGAGTTACCAAACGGAGAGATTGTTGTTGAAGACTGGTCATAGAACACAACCAGGTCAAAGTCTTCTCGGTGCAGAAAAAGTGACCGCTCAGCGTCTGGACCTACTATCATACGCTCTGCCAGCTCATCACCTGACATGCTCAAGTGCAAAGAAACTGGCTCGATACAAATGATAGATTGTGACCTAATGTGACCAGCATCAAAAGAACCACGACTCCTCAGGTCCACCAAAAGAATCCGTACAGTCTGGGAGCTCATACTCTGATATTTGTAGAGGTCCTCTGCACTGATATAGGTGGAGTCTGGGATCGATACACCTTTCTTTGCCGTGACCGCTCCATGGGTATTGACGGAATGCGCAAGCACAAAATAGTCACGACTTGCTTCGACCACAGGAGGTGTAGGGCCGACATTGGAAATGGGTGGAGCCGCGTCTTTTCTGCCAAGGCCTATATAGGACGAGCTTCTAGGAATACTGGAAAGCAAGTTTACCGTCGCCGCATTATCAGAACCGCGAGCTGGGCTATAAATTGCATCAGGTGGCCGAGGAAGGTCCGCCATTTTTACGTCCAGCGTGATCTTGTCTTGATGAGAGTGAGATTTTGGAACGGGTGGCATCTCATCGGAACTGTAAGCAGTCTGAGGTACGACTATAGGCTGGGTGCGTATCCTTGGGTCTTGCAACGGGGGCTTTGATTCAGGTGAGCGTAAGCGTGCAAAACGGGTCTGTAAATCTGAGCTCCCGTTTTGGGCCAAAGGTTTTCCATGGAGCATTTGAGGCTTTGGCTGGATCACAGGTGGCTTTTTTCGAGGTGCAATTCCATCGCCCATGGCATCAAGTTCAATCTTCCGCCCGCCTGAGATTCCGCTTTTCCGTGGCAATGCTTCGGACTGAGTTCGGGTATGGCCATTGGGCGTTCCATTGGTATTTGCTGTATTGCCATTTCCCTGTTGGTTGATACTCAGCGCAGGCTTGACGCCACTGGCGGCGTTATTTTCCTTGATAACGCTCTTTACTGCTTCTAATTTGGGCGACTGAACCTGAATTCGCTTTACCAAGCCAGTGTACATTCGGTGCAAAGGGCCGCGGTCAGCTTGCAGCTGAGGATAGTCTTTGTGGCGGGGAACAATGTCAAGAGCGATAATGGACGCCTTGATGTGTTCCTTAAGCGCAACTTCTGGCCGCCAGAAATCCAAGCTAGTATCAGCCTGCTTCGCAGAATCCTCGCCTGATTGTAGGATCGTTCGTAGGGGGGAATTGATGTCTACACCAGGTACGACATTGACCAAGTCATCAAAATGAGGAAACACTCGGTTCCCTCTCTTGAACCCGTCGGTCCCCAAGTGCTTGCTCTCGTTTTCATTGCTGACTGGCCCCGGTCCGTTGACAGGAACCGCTCTTGTGTATGGGGATGGCCCTAACGCTGAGGGACTCATATTATAATTGGACAAATCGTACCAGCAGACATGCCACGAATACTGAAAGGGTTATGCGGATAACTCGTGGACGTAGAGACGGACAGAAAGGCGATCGCTGGCGGCTTTTCAAGCAGAAGCAGGAGCAAGATTAGACGGCGAACAGGATCCGATAGCGTATTCTGCGCGTGTGATTTGCAACACTGACTCTGCAATCTTTTACTGTGGTAGTTTCGCTTCCCTCCAAGTCGGGGGGGGGGCGTGAGGTTCGAGGATGGTAGTGATGTGAGTGCGAGTGTGAGTACCGAGGAACAAAGACGGCGTGGTAGGTGGAAGGAGGGAAGGGAGAAATGCAGGAGATTGATTCTTTATTGTTGCTCATCGTTGACGCCAACCACACATTCTTGCCGTCGTGTCGTTCTGCATTCCATTTCCTGATATAGCTGGAGGTATGAGTGATGGTAGGTGGTGGATGTTGTAGTGGTGAATGTAGTGAATGTCCGGGTGATGCAAATGCGGCATGGCCAGCAAGGGCCAAGGCTCAAGAGAGGAGAGGGATCCACCCCTGGAGCGGGCCGGGGTTGTCTACATACATTACCTACCTACCTACCTAGGGTAAGTAGTTTGGTTAGGCTCGTAGCAGAGGTCTTATCGAGTAGGTAGAGTAGGTGTACGAGTACTTAATTAGGCATTTCAACTACTTGGTATCTACCTAGGTAGGTAGAGTACGACTACCTAGTGAGCTAGTCTAGTCTTCTGCGTACCTAGGTTCTCGAGTAGGTACTACTCTGAGTACTGACAGTCCATTCGCTTATACCCACCTAGGTGGTAGCAATAATCCACGGAGCGAGCCACGCTAGCTTGGAGAACAGATACCTATGTACCTAGGTATTTATAAATAAACATAAATGTATATCTGGTACATGTCTATCATCTGACCCAGTCTCTGCAGGTGATTCGGCTTGTACGAGGCAGTCGCCCGCTCTAGCTCGTGCCCTAATTAGGGCTCACCAGGTTACTGTGACTACCTGCAAAGTTAGGTGATAGAAGATGACGTACGCCAGCACTACGCGCGCTCTTACTCCGCACAATACCCGTGCCCGTGGACGACCGTTACCTAGCCTAGCCGCGAACTTGGTGTACTAGCTAAGCCACGCAGCCCACCTCATCCACCAACCATACTCTACATTATCTTCAACTACTACCCTCAGCCTCCTCCCCACCTCCTCCTCATCCTCATCCCCGTCTGCAACTCCGAATAACACAAAATAAACTAGGATCAACAAAAACATCTTCCCATAGACTCCTTCTCATCCAACCCGTCTCTCCACTGTGATACGATACATTTGGGGATAACCCCATCACTCGCGCCCACCATGATGTCGGGGTGGTTTGCCTCCTCCTCGCAGCTCGATGAACAAATCGACCGCGCAACCTCGAGCTCGCTGTGCGTCTCAACCTGGCTTCCACCTGGCTGCTAGTTTTAGAGGGTGCGGTGCTAACCTGATGACAGAGAGGATATTGCCCTTAACCTCGAGATCTCCGATATCATACGATCCAAAACGGTGGCATCCAAGGATGCAATGCGCTCCCTGAAGCGGCGCATAGGCAATAAGAATCCCAACACTCAGCTGAGTGCACTGAACGTGAAGACCTCCGTAAAGCAAGATATTGGGAACCAGCACTGATAACAGATTGTAGCTTACCGATACCTGCGTCAAGAATGGCGGGTCCCATTTCCTGGTCGAGATTGCTTCGAGAGAGTTCATGGACAATATGGTGTCCTTGTTGAAGGCATATGGCGGAGCGGCGGTTAATGACGATGTGAAGAATAAGATATTGGAACTGATCCAGACGTGGGCAACCGCAACCGAAGGTCGATATGAGCTGTCTTATATTGGAGAGACATACAAAGGCCTTCGGCGAGAAGGCTTCCGATTTCCATCCAAAGTTGATGTTGCAAGTAGTATGTTGGATAGCAGTGCGGTTAGTATCGTGATGCCGCTCATGAAAGAAACCATACTGATCTTTACCAGCCCCCGGAGTGGACTGATTCCGATGTTTGCATGCGCTGCCGAACCGCCTTTAGTTTCACGAATCGTAAGCACCACTGCCGAAATTGTGGCAATGTTTTCGATCAGCAGTGCTCTGCAAAAGTACTCCCATTGCCTCATCTTGGCATACTACAGCCGGTCCGAGTCGATGATGGATGTTATGTGAAGTTGACCGATAAGTCATCGAAAGGGGGATCTTTTGGGAATGAGCGCTCATCGCACCCACATAAAAATAGATCACACGCCCACGGCTCGATGCAACCCCGGAGCCCGAGGGTTGATGAAGGTTTTGATGAAGACTTAAAGAAGGCCCTTGCAATGAGCTTGGAAGAGGTAAACAGCCACTCTGGTGCCGGATACGTTCCTCAATCGAAGATCCAGACCAGCTCGAACCTTCCAGCTGCCAACATAGCGAATAAGCCAACCCCGAGCAAGCCAGCAGAAGAGGAAGATGTGGATTTAGCGACTGCTATTGCCGCCTCCCTTGCTGATATGGAAGAGCAAAAGAAGAAGTTCTCGGCAACCATGAAAGAGGAAACCTCCAATACAACTACCAAGTCTTCGTTCGCGGTTCCCAAAAATTATTATGAGCTTACTCCAGTTGAAGCGGAAAATATCAATCTATTCTCCACTCTGGTAGACAGACTTCAAACACAACCACCGGGAACAATTTTACGCGAACCGCAAGTACAAGAGTTATACGATAGCATCGGAACACTTAGACCAAAACTTGCTAGGACTTATGGGGAGACGATGAGTAAACATGGTTGGTGGCAGGTTACCTTGTTTTGAAAAGTTTTGCTAATTCTTGTTAGATGCGCTTCTTGATCTTCACGCCAAATTATCTACTGTTGTACGATATTATGATAATATGCTCGAGAAACGCTTGACAGACACTTATAGTCAACACACTATCGGCGGCTATGCCCTTCCTCCGCAAAGACCAGCATCGTCAATATACCCATCAATATCTTCTAATGTTCCAAATGGAGCCTCTGGCGCAGAAAGCTTTTATACTGGTACCTCTCAGGCGACGGAGCCGTACGTTCGACCACAATCCACATACTCATTTGCACAGCCTCAACAATACAACAGAGCGTCAGTACCAAACCCTGGTTATGCCCCGACTGAGCACCGCCAAGATTCATACTCTCAATATCCACCGCAACAACAAATGCCCCAACGGCCACAGCAATTCCAGGGAACCCAGAGTTGGCCAGGGTCAGAGCAAGGGACTGCACCATATGGTTCCCAGCAACCAGTGTATGCACCAGAAGCAACACCTCAGTCACAGGCATCTCTCCCTATGCAAACTCCTTCCCAACCACCATCTAGTTATAACGCCTCTGATCCAACAATCACTCCGGCTGCCGATCCAAATGCGGCATTTTATTACAATAATCCGTCACAGGTACCAACGCCCCAGCAATCTACCTTAGAACCTAGTCAGCCTCAATTCACGCCATCCCACTCGCCACAGCAATATCATAAAACTGCTGCGCAACCTCAATCCCCTCCACCACAGTTTACCTCAAAGACTCCGGCTCAACAACAAATCCAACCACAACAGGCACCAAGCTCTCAATCGCAGGCAGCTCAGCAACCACCTCCACCACAGGCGCAGCAGCAGCCCCAGTACTGGCAACAACCTCAGCAGTCGTGGGCACCGCAATCGTCCACTTACTCTGGATACACGCAGGAGTCGTTTCCGTCCGCGCCTCATCATACTCCTCAGCAACCGAAGTTGGTGGAGGAGAGTTTGATTGATCTTTGAGACGGAAAATGGTTGTTTCTTAGCAGCGAATGGCGTTTGGTAGACAACGATATGTTTTTCACTCATTTTAAAAATTGTACGTACTGCATCTTGACAGAAGTAGGTCGCTATGGAATATGGATGGATACCATGGCTTGGGATGCGATTATCTGACAGATGTGAGAAGGCGGTGAAGGTTGTTTGGACCGGGTTTATGGATGTATTTGCTAGTAGATAATACCCAAAGGAAGAAACTTTACGTCCGTTGTGTATATGTGGTCTTTTTTTGCTGCATGAGAAAATTCCAATTTGTCAAGGTGATATTGAGGGTTAGTTGAGTCCTGAAAGCCATTTGATGTATTGGCATGGTTGCGGTGTGTCTAACGGGGTGTGGATCTGTTCAGTATGGTTTGGTGGTATTAGAGGACAAAACTATATCCTATCCAAGAAGCAGATGTACTGTATGACAGCCTCACGGTACATTGGCTATAGTGTGGTGTGGTTAGTTTATCGCTTCGCTAAGCCCTATGGTACTCGATCGTTGTTTTTGAACGTCGCTGGGTAGGAAGGTAGTTAGGTAACCCCACTTGCTATCTGTATTAGGTTGCTTGTAATTCCTGATACTCTGATGCGGATATTAGACGGTCTTACCATTGATGTCTCTACACTACTCGAGACGGATATTCTTGTTTATGGTCTGGTATATCGTGAGTTACTATAGTTGACTGGGTTTTATTTGGACGTTTACTTTATTCGCTGTTTTTCTTTTCTTGGTGATTTCGGATAAAGATCATAAGTAATCTTTGGATATGCTTCTTAGCTATGGGGAGTCGGCTATTGTTTGTCCAAATTAGTAAAAGATAGATTGAAAGATACTAAAATAAAACAAATAGAACTTGAAACACCAATCTCTGTCTGTGCAATGATATACTACCCATAAGTGTTCCACTACATCGGCGACATGATTCGGCACTCACTTTACCAACCGGCACTTGATTTCGTTGAACCAATAATTGACCTCAAACACTTTCTCTAGTCGCATCGCACGTGCCTGCCATGCAGACTTCACATGGTGGAGATAACCTGGAAATGTTCTTTTTTGGTGCCATACCCACCTGGGCAGCTTTCCAAAGTCTCCGTAACTATGATCCGCAAGAAATTGATATAGGTCGAGTTAGATCTAGAACTGGCCGCTAGACAGTATTCAACAGCTTCTTTTAGTTTCAAATAACTCAATGGATGCGTTGTGGGGTTTGTTTGGTATGGAAGCATGTGTCGGACTTTACAACACGTACATCTACATCCTCGGCGACCAAACAAACCTCAACGTCCCCGAAAAGCTAAAACGACTGGGCAGCCTTATAAAAAAGCGATCCTGCAACCCCTCCACCAATTTCTGACACGAGGAGAATGGATGAAACCCCATGAATACTGGCGAACTCTTGAGTATTTATGTCGCCGACCAATTTCATGTTATCCGAAATGGATGACGGGCGCCCGCAGGGCTTATTCAAGTACGCCACTTGCATAGCACGTCAAAGGGCGGGCGAGAACGACGATTGACCTCAATTTCAACGGAGGATCTGTGTTGTTTCATGTTTTTCATTGAGATTTCATTTTGGCTTGATTTGAGGTGTTTGTAGATACATATTCCTTCTTCCTACATCTTCACTACTCTTGTATTATTGGTTCACTTGGTTTGGAGCGAGTCACATTGTTGGCTGGGATTGTTTCTATTCACTGTCCAAGTGTTTACATGAATGACAAATTCAAATCCTTTATGTCTAGTCTCTAGATTCGCACAATAGAAAGGAGGGAGGAGCGACTGGGATCTCCTCGTCAAAGCCGAAGCTTCATGTCTACTAGCGACCTAGGTATACATACACGTACTTTAGGGAGCACGAACACCTCATCATCAACTCCCCCAGCTTCATATTTTCTCGTTTTCAGCATCAAGATGAACTCGATCCCTTGGAGAGGTGTCATTTCCGGCGCTCTGTTTGGCGCGGCTTTGACAGCCGCCGGAATGTACACACCCTCGACTATCATTGAGCAGATGAATCTCACCAACTTCCATATGCTGAAAGCCTTCTTAGCTGCCAGTGGCAGTAGCGCGTAAGTTCACGTTGTCCTTTTCACGCAATGTGAATATCTAGTGCCAAATATATCTTTCTGCGTTGTTTATAAGCTGACAGAAAATTCCAGGTTGACTATCCTCCTCGGTTATCAGCTCTCACTAACCAAGTGCTCACCTCGTACGCCAGCAACCATATCTCTCCCCTTTGGACCGTACAATGGGAACGTGATCGGCGGCATCGTTCTCGGTCTGGGCTTGACACTCTCAGGCGCTTGTCCAGGAACCGTCTGGTCCCAACTAGTGACAGGAGTACCAAGTGCCATCCCTGTTTTGGCAGGTACAGTTCTGGGAGGGATCCTCTACTCCTTCCTCAAACCGCATATTACGCCTTCTTCCTCCCAAATCGCAACTGCCAAAAACAAGCCAGCGTTCAGGAAACCCACTCTCACCCAACGAACTGGTCTTAGCAAAGCGAACGGAGTCGCGCTGTACGAACTACTCTGCATAACCGGTATCCTAAGCGCAAACTTCTTCTTCCCTCGCAACAATCCCTCGCTTCTCAGTCCCATCCAAGGCGGTCTCCTAGTCGGCCTCTCCCAATTCACATCCCTCCTCCTCACCACTTCCACACTCGGCAGTTCCACAGCATTCGAGCAAATTGGCGATCTATTCTGGTGGTCGTTCGACACTTCCAAGCGCCGACCTTCACTGAGAAACACGGCTTTTGCAGTAGGAACGATACTTGGGAGTTTCATCCTCACTAGATATGCCGATGTACCGATATCTAATGGGAAGATTGTGATTGGAACCAGGAGAGCTGTTCTTGGTGGGGTCTGCTTGGTTGTTGGGAGCAGGATTGCGGGAGGGTGTACGAGTGGACATGGGATTAGTGGGATGAGTATGTTGAGTATTTCTAGTTTTGTGAGTGTTGCTGCGATGTTTGCGGCGGGGATTGGAAGTGCGTCCTTTTTGAGACATAGGGGAATTTGAGCAGCAGTGAGGTATGGAAGGCAGATGATTACTGGGGCAGTTGATGGCTTTTTTCCCGTTTCGCTGAGTAGTTTGCACTCAAAGTTAGATACCCTCAAAGAATACCAAATTGCATCCTGATGAAGATCTGCCCTTTCCACTGGTCGAGCTACTGCCATTCTTTTGGTTTGCTTACTCGTACACTAGCCATTTACAACCACGGTAGCACGTTATATAACCATATTAGCGTACGAAGCTTCTCTTATTAAAGCTTACGCTGTCTAGGGTATAAAGTATGAATACTACATCTAATGAGCTAGGACATAAAGTGCCTTCTGTCCTAAAAGCCCTTTGTAAGTGATAATCTATTTAATAATTGGTGGCAGGTAGTAACACCCCAAGACTCCTTTCAGACTAAGTTTTCATGCTTGTCAACGCTAGAGAGACATCCAGTAACTGGGTCAGATTCTTTTCATAGAATCTGGCTTCTTCTCTTCTCTAAAGCCACATTATATTTGCTTCTTAGAAAAGGCGACTTGACAATTCTAGGCTAATAATATATAAGTAAGTCATGTTATATACCCAGTCATTCAGTCTGCCTTTGTACTTATACCGACTGCGAAAGTGTTCATTTCTAATCTTTGCTCTTTATGCTCAAAAGTACTAGTATAGATGTTAGTGGCATTAGTTCCACTTGTTCTTTTTTATTATTGTTTTACAAAGGCCACTTTAAAGTGCTTCTTACATTCCTACCAGCAATTTTAACCTGCCCAAGAAGAGGTACTAAGATGAGCATAAGCTCAATGTTGTGTTACTCCTAGGCTTGGATTGTAGATGGTGAGACCATAAAACACCAATCATAAATGCAAGTAGGTTGGAGTTTTAAACAGTCCTTTGCAAGAGTTGTATTTATTGGCCTAGATTCACTACATTAACCCTGTGGGTCATACACAGGTACATAAACAATAGCTACTATTGACCAGATACAGTGCACAGGGTTCTCATATTTTACTAGAGTACCTAGTGCAACAACTCTTTGTACCCGTAACGTCCACGAAGAATAAGTCATGTCTGCATCATCTACCACAGTACCATGGTCAAGACAACTTGGTAGCTCCCATCTCAAGAATCTGCTACGTCGCCCATCTGACCTTCTAGTCTTTTCACTTTTCCCTCGTCTTCATATTGAACTACGACTTGTTATATGGGAGTATGTTTGTTGCGACCCTCAAACAATCAAACTCATCGAGAAACAAGTTTGGTACACAGGATCTCGATATAGGACTACATCACGAAGTCCCGGAGTCATATTTGCGAACAGAGAAAGTCGAGACGTATCCAAACGCTTCTATCAATCACTTCTACCTACCGCCTCGGTCCCTTACTCGACACTTCGTTATTTCAACCCTCTTGTTGATACGATAAGCCTCAATTTCCTATATAACCACAGCCATCACCTCACACGTCAAAGAATCCTCTTCTACCCTGGTGCAGCGGCAGCCATCCAACGGTTGGAGATTCTTCATACGGTTTGGGACTCGACTTTGAAGTATTCTCAACAAAATTGGTTGCTTGTAAGCCAAGATTTCAAGGGTGCGTTTGATCTTATCAGGGTTTTTAAGAGCCTACGTTATTTGACTCTTCTTCATCCATACATGGATGGTGTGTCGGTGGTTGAGGAGAATGACACCCTTCGCATTAAGAATGATTTGGTGTCAGATTACGAGCAGCGGAAGCAGGTAACCTCTGAATTATTCTGTACTGCTATAGAGGTACGAGATAGTCGAGAATATGTTGCATCTAGCTTGGGCGATACAGCGGAGGAGTAGAGAAACACAAAAGAGCAGGATCTTGGCAGGAGTAAGCTAAGGCAAGACACACTGTCAATTACCTTAGGTGAATTTCTTTCTTCAGTGAACAGAATGAGAATTTAGTCACGACTTACACGTCATCAAATCGGATGAATTACGTGAGCCAATCCTCTTGATCACTTGAGTCACAAGATAGACAGATTTGAATATTTCATGCCTGCTTGAGATAACTACAACATGATCTTCCTCCTCAAAGTCAACAATACAACTGACTTGCAACACCATTCCACAATACCAAACACAGTTTCGGTCACGGCAGACTTTTCTCCCACCATGTCCTCATCTACCAACGAACTCTCGGCGGGATCACAAGCCCCAGTTCCCAATTCCGTTCCCGATTCCATCGAATCTCTCAACATAATCGTCAATCAACTGCCAGATCCAGCTTGCGAGCTTTTCAACCCTAATCCCTACCCTATGGGCTTTTTGCTCTTTCCACTCCTTCCATTTGAGCTCCGTCTGCTTGTCTGGAAGTTTGTCTGCTGTCTTCCTCAAAGAATCGACATCTTCGGTCTATCTGCCTGGCCTAAAGGATACAAGAAGAAGGTTCAGGGTTTCAGGTTCTATGAACGCTTCCTTGGATTTATGTGCGAAGGCCAAAACCCTGGAGTTCTGACTGCGGACCGTGAAAGTCGAACGATATCAAAGTCCATTTACCAGCCACTTCTCCGCATCACAACCATGCAAACTTCGGTGCGCTATTTCAACCCATCTGTTGACACCATAAAGTTCGAGTTTAAGTGTGATAACAAAAGATCCATACCAGCAGAAATATTTGCTCCAGGTGCAGCGAAATCTATTCAGAATTTGTTGCTCAGCCAAACGTGCTGGGGATCTGGAGGGATATCTCCCACTAATCGCTTCCTTTTTTGCTGGAATATTGAAGGCCATGTTCTCCAGGACGACACGGCATTGAAGACACTTGAGGAGTGGCAATTTTCAGCCGGATTGCGTTTTCCATCTCTTTTTGGTGGTTTACGAAACTTGACTTTTGATGATCTATATTTTCTCGAGAAAGGGCAACGTTTCCCCGCGCCAGTGAATGATATGGAGGGCATCAAAGAAATCAGAGATCACCTCGTCGAACAGTATAAAGCTTTGAAAGCCAAAGACCCTACGGTGTTTCGACCCGCTGTCCGCTTAGAACACTACAACGGGAATTCTGCTTGGGAGTTAGCTGATACGTATCAAGGTACTAAGGGGCCCTAGAACGACACAGCAGGGATGATGAAGGAAGCGGTTGCGAATGAAAGTATGCCTGAGCGGTATGATGGTACATCTGATAGCCATGTTACTGGTTGATTGACGAAGACACTTCATAGTTGAATGGTATAGCTAGCCCCTTTCCAAACACTTGAATGTATAGTACTGATGCCCAAATCAGCATCCTAATAAAAGAAAACCAAAACCCGAAGGTCGATAAATATTACAGTTTTGTAGCTAAAGATCAAATCCATACCAGCATCAACAAACCATGCGCGAAACTATGTCTATATGAAAATTCGGCGGCAGTTACCCATTTCTCTATATATATCCTAAGTAGTAGTAGTCTTCTATATGAACCCATTTTGCCTCTTCGCCGAAAGAGCAGTGATATTCTTGCTTGGAACGTCTTGTTTACGATTTCGAAGCTCGATAGTATGTTATCTATGAACAGACACTGTCCAGAAAAATACCGAAAGAGTATGTTCTTAGTTACCATATTCCTAATAATATCACACATAAATCCTAAAGATATTTTATCAAGTAAACTCGGTTGTAATACAGCGATTCATATAAGAATAATAGTAGTATCACGCTTACCGCTCTATATTTGCAAGATAATCGGTCAATTCTACTCTTGATGAATAAAGTATAACAGATTTATGGGTAAAACTACGGACTAGTGAATATTCCTCGCTTAGTGAATAATATCGTGGGGGTAATAAGTGAATAGTAATAGGAGGAGTAGAAAAAAGGTAGGCAACGGCTTTGTTTACTTAAACGGTGACGAGACTTCGTTTCCCTTCACCCCGTGAAATCAATCTCAGCTTTATTACAGAATCGTCCTTGTGTACTCCCAGTGATACCTTAACACGATGCGGAGAACAGAATGAATGAGATTGAAAAACGCTGAGGGGAAATTCTTGGTGAAGCGGCTGAGAAGTTCTAGCGAAGTCAAGAATAAACATGGACGACATAAAGTGAATGGCAACAAAATATGGCTATAACTCAACGAACCTCATACCAATCTTCTGTTTTCTCCGCCGTTCCGACTTATTTATCTGTCCAACATAAGAGATTCGTGACGCTCGCTTGGCTTGGCATAAGGTCCCGAAGGTGAACCTGGTGAAGTATGCTCCTTCCCTATGAGGGTTAATAGAATATAATACGTTATTCACCACTACCCACGTGGACAAGCGTGTAAACGGCTTGAATGAGTCATACCGACATAACCATATTTACGTTTGTGCCTCGGCACTTATAAAATACTGACCTCTTGCCAAACGAGGAAGTCTTTTCCTCCTCCATCACAACATAACGTAGCAGAGGCGTGACACACATATATCAAGGCACTAGAATACTAAACCACATCCATCATATTTCGATATTATCTGATTCTAATAAGAAGCAGTATCAACCATGATCGCATCCACGAAGATACTGGAGCTCTTCTTCGAACTCCCCGACGCTGGCGCAAAGTTGTTTACCGAGACAACCAAAATCCATCATATCTTCCTCGGCGAACTCCCCGATTCCAACTTCGAGCTTGCTCCTCCCCCTTCTGCCGGTCGCATATACCCGCTATTCTCCTCTCTACCCACGGAGCTCCGATTACAGATTTGGAAGTATTGCTGTTTCCTGCCTCACGATATCAGTATATACCGACACTTCATAAAGGACGGCAAATGGCCTCGTGAGCCCGGAAAGCCACAATATGCGAAACCATGGAGACACAAGTTTCTCGGCCTCAAGACAGTCTCAAGTAACCCCGGGATCCTCACAAGTAGCCGGGAGAGCAGAGAGGTAGCAACGAAGATTTATCAGCCGCTGTTGGAAAAATCGGCCTGGCAACCTTTTGTGCGGTATTTCAATCCTGCGGTCGACACGGTTGTGGTGGATTTTGGGCGTGAGATAATGGGCGATGAAAATGACGGCCAAAGCATGACTTTTGATTTGGTAGCAAAGCTTGCTTGTGGTGCCGCCGCTAAGATTCAAAAGCTGGAATTGATGTTCACGGTATGGGTGCATATCTGGGGGAAGTGCCAGATGCCAGCAGCTTCTAGGGACGAAACCAGTTGTTTCAATGTGAATGGATTCACGTTGAATTACCTGGGAGGGAATGATTGGGCCCTCTTCGGTGGATTGAGATGGTTATCGATCTCATATCCTTCGTTCACTACTGGGATGCTTATCAATGAGAAGGAGGAGACGGAGGAGATTAAGGAGCATTTGGTGAGACAGTTTAAGCAGTTGAAGAGGAAAGATCCGAGCCTCTTTCGGCCTTGTATTAAGGTTGAAGATATCACTGATTATGTTGCTATGGATTTGGGAGACACTGTCCAAAAACAAGATGATATTGAGAGAATTGCTGAGCCTGAAGAACTCGAAGAACTCGAAGAACTCGAAGAATCTGAGTGGTCTGGTGACAGCGAGGACGAGTGAGGTTGATTATGTCCAATGAGCTTAAGTAATTACATACATTACTATTACAAAATTTGATAGCAACATTTAACGAGAGTATCAAATATGGGAAAAGAAATTCCATCTCTGCTATTACCATATATATGCACTTTCCCTCCACGTCCCATCTTTTACCGAAAGCGCCGTACCGGTATTTCTCATTGCAGAATTGTTGGTGTCCAAGTGGGCTGAAGCAGAGTATCAGTATCATCTTATAACAAAGCAACTATGGATTGCTTAATCCCAACTCGAACTCCTGGCTCCATGGAAGTTATTGCGAGATCTGGCGGGATTGATGATGCCCTCCGCTTTCACTAAACGATACCCTCCCGCTAACGATGGTTCGTTCTCGAATCCGATTTTGCTAGTATTAGCCACTCTTGTTTGTATCTCCCTCTTTGGTGTCTCCTACAGGACTCTCCAATTCCACTCTCTCATGTAAGACCGTATTGTTAGTCCGCCCGGCACTCGACATTGTATTTTCATTCTCACCGCCTGGCAGCTCAGCTTTTTGCGGAAAACTATCCCTTTCACCCAACCAAGACATCACCAGAGGGCTCACAACTGAACTTCCCGCGCTTGTCGCCCTGCCGAATTCTCCATGTCTTGGACTCTGTATTCCAGGCCCCGCACTCTCCAACTCAGGCATTCCATCTGATAGCGTGTCTCCTAGCAGCGCTGGCACGACCCCTGATTTCCACCCCTCTAAAGTTTCCCTTTTCACCCGTACTCCCTTTTCAGAAGCCCCTAATTCAGGGCTCAAAGGCCATCCTTGATCTGGCCTAGCAAGGGCGGTTTGTAATGTGTTATTGTCTCCCACTCCGCTATTCATCCACGTCTTCGTCGCCCGTATATCCATTTTCGCTCTCGTTGGAGTTATTGTCTCTTTCTTTCCTTTTCGAATTTCTTCCTCCGAACGCACCTATGAAAGGAAAGAGACCGAATTTTGAGGATTTTGGTGAGACGGAGTCATCTTTGTGTGTATATGGTGGTGGGCCAGGAGGGTGAGCTTTTTTGTGTCGATTCTTTAAACAGATAAGGAGGAAGCCGACGAGGGTGAGGAAGATGAGAACACCAAAGGCAACTCCAACCCACATACCAGCAGTTTTGCCGGGATCATGAGGCGAAGAGGTATTCGTGCTCGTAGGGGTTGAATTTGAGGTAGATGATGTGGTCTCGGTTGAGTTTTGGCTTGTGTTAGTTATCGTGGACTTCAGCTGGTACAGGTCGAGGTATCCGTAACCCCCGCAGGTAGTGGTCATATTTCCCGAACACGGGTAGCTGCAATACGCTGGATCACGGATGGTGGAAGAATTGGAAAGTGTTTGGCCACAATAGCATTCTCTGGAAGTTTATAGGTTAGTATTGGCTGAAACATATACCAAACATTGATGACTTTTGAACATACCGACTATTCTCCAAAGCTGCGTACTTATACTGTCCACTTCCATCTGGTGCCAACGCTTCATGACAGTATTCTAAACACAGTGGGACCGTCATAGCCTCCGGAACTACTTGTGCTGGACTTATGTATTGGCCACTGAGGCCGACTGCTCGCCCACCGGCCTCTGGACCCAGTTCGTTATAACACCCCAGGATATCATAGTCGAATGCCGCAGACACGGGTGTAGGAGCATCAACCACTATTGTTTTAGCTGTCAGAGGCGGGAGGGTTGCCGTTGAAACAACAATGATGGTATTAAGTTGAGCGAATGTTGGTCCTATGGTCAGCATGAAAGAAAGGACCAGCAGATAAATCGAGAGGTTGAGATCCATTTCGAACCGTAGAGATCAGAGGAAATTTCGATGCGACTGAAATCCAAGAACCTGGACCAACAATACAACGAAACGAAACGAAGCAATAATGAGGCCGCCATTATTTGCCACAAGAAACATTGTGAGAGTCTTGTGGTTCCAGTACGAAAGCAGTAAGATGCTGTGTAAAGAACAAAGGAATAGTGAGGCGGTTGTTGGTAATTTGATAGGATCGAGGGGCGGATTGGACAAAGAACGCATCTTGCTGAAGGGTTGAGATTGACATTGAGAACATTTTAATTTGACGACACTTGCATTTAAACACATACAATCGACGAATCAGGTCCAGAATTGTTAATGTTTCCGCAGAATTCCAATTTAGGAGTGTGAGATGTAGTTACCATATCACGTGTCCAATGGATGATACAAATAGGTAGCTTTTCAAAGTGCTAAGAAGGAACGAAAGATAAAAGGGGTTTAGGAAAAGAGCAAGATTTCTCAAGCGAAGATAAGGACCGCCAGGAATACTTAAGGAGGTTTTCATGACAGGCTCAGCCACAGATAAGAAAAGCAGTATGATTTGCATGTTTAGATCGCATCATTATCGGCTCAAAGACACCACACTTTCATATCAGTTGGCCACGTGCAGACAACCCTGGTTACGCTGATGCTGATATGCTGAGAGTGTCTCTTTATCTTGACCCCTTCCTTTACGTATCTTGGTATCTCATCTATTCCAGGATGTTGGCCCATTCGGACTGGGAAAGTTCGCCGCTATTAGGAGTAAACGGAGAGGTCCCGAGTATTGGGGTAAACATATGTCAACTTTGACTTTCCTATTTGAGCTGAGAAAAGTATTTCTGTAAAGAAGTATGACCGGACAACCGACTCAAACGCGTTGGGGGGCAAAAGAAGAGAGATTGATCAAACTGCAAAGAAGCGAATTCGGCCTTTTCAATCTGCACTTCAGGAGTGAAACTGTGACCGTGGTATCTAATCTGAATATTTAGGGTTTGGGGCAACCAAATGAACGTGCGTTACGCAATCAGTGCTGTACTGCTCGCTAGATCTTGTGCCCCAGAAGGCCAGATTTGCGGATATCGTGTGATTTGACTGACTGTGGACCAGGATGGAATCGTGCCCCTCAAACAAAAGCATCCATGACTGATAAGCCGATGGGTATAAAGACATCGCATGCCCTCCAATCCCGACAGCCGAAAGAGAGCGCCGACCTCAGCAACGCTTCGAGTCAAATTTGGCTTGCCATGAAATTTCTTCAGGTGCTAACATCGAACAGAGACGATGAAAAGATAAGGGGAACTGCGCTTGCAACCAAAACGATCCATCCCCAACCTAAGCAGCCGGTGGGTCACGTGGCAAACCGGGCCTTCTACTCGAGTACTATACCCCTCAGGCTTCCCCTTCCATTATTGCTTCCCCACAACACCAGCACGCCACAAGTTTGTGCCATTTCGAATGTCAACCTTGAACCTGCCGTCACCTCGAACTCTCCGACCTCGTGACTCCACACCTGGATCTATGGAGCGAGCAGACCACTCTGCCCTCCTCTCCTGCCCTCAGACCATCGTCAAAACGAGTTGTGGATTCGGGAAATACTCCGCACGCAAAGACCAACCAACCCCTCCATCCTGATGACCATCGCCGCGCCACCAAATTGCTTTACCTCTTCTTGAGCGACACCCCCACGTTATTAATTCTGGCGGTTATTGTTGTGTCACTCTTTTCATTATCCCGCGCGGGGGGGTGCTTCTGGTGGACCAAAAAATGGCATCGAACGGCTGGGAAGTTTCCCGTTGTTGCAGGCATCTGCAACGCAAGAGCACGAGATGTATTGGTTGTGCGATCCCCTTCGGATTCTCGAAACTTGTCCTTTGGATTTCTGGGGTTTAAACAACCGCAATATCAGCCAATATCCCGCAGTAAAACCAACGGCACATAAGTTTCCTTTCTGCCGTAAGGAAAGGGGGGTGGTGGACGGTGTACGGACCCTTCAGATATCGACAAGGAAGTCAAGTCACAGGATCACATGTCAGCATCAAGGGAGCCCTCTTGAGTGGTCCAGTTCAACGACAAAGGTCGGCTCGATCGACGGTGATAGCGAGACAACTTCCAAGAATGGGTCGAGTTGTGACTTCAAAGTCTGGATTTCGATCTCGGTCCTATTTAAGTTTCTTGGAGGGGACACCCATGTGTTGCGAAAGAAAAAAATTGGGGTATGGGGCAGTAGTGGTGGGAACGAACCACTTATGAAATCTGAACCTCGAATTGCCGAATGTGAAACTATTCTGGAGTGAGTACAGAATATCTGATATCCATGAGTATGGAGAATTCCATACTTTTCACCAACTTCCACAGTGATCAAACATCAACCACTCTTGTACCGGTACCGGTTTCTTGGTAAAAATCATGACTCGTACAGTACTACTTCACGGCTCTCCAAAATCTCACGGGTGTGGTCCGGGATTTCTACGGTTGTAATCGCTCACATTGTTACTAACTATACAAATTTGAGGATCTTAACCAGATAATATGGAGTCTCAAAAATTTCGTTCGGCCCTTTGGATGACATGTGTTCCCAGAAGCATGTTTCTAGTTATCAAAACAGACTTTTAGTAGCATTCTATAATTCTCATTCGTCAAATTCATTTAGACTGAGTGAAGGTATCCACAGAGTGCTTCCAACAAATTATCTTCATGCAGTTCGGGTTGCTCCGGAATCTTTTTTCAGATTCGGAGTTTCGTGCCCAGAAAGGTTAGAGCGCAGTCGGTAGCTTCTCTCCGAGATGTGCTACTCTTTGCTATACAAATTCTCCACTTGAACTAAGAGCACTTTATAACTACAGATCTTTTGTTTAGGCTCGAGGGTGTACACTTGCTATTGTTAAGAATCAACACTGGTGCAATAGCCAGTTCCCCCAAGGAGCATGATGCTATCTCTGCTATAGATACATCGTTCAATTCACGCTACAAACTTCTCACCGTGGAAGCGAACTGGGAGGCTTTCAAATGTCGGTTGCTCCATAATGCGCCAAGTACCCCACGCTCACTCTGACGTCAATGACCCCGGAGAGAATAAGCATACGTAGAGGGAAAGGCGAACGCCATTCGACATATACTTCACTCCTGAAGTCCTCGTCATTAGATGTTGAGTAATGGATCCAATTTGGTGGAATCAACTCTAGAAGTCGCTGGTTCTGCCTAGGTGGCTAGCTACCCAAGTACAGCTTCATCCGCGTCCAAACCGCGTCTAGTTGAAAACTCCTATGGGAGGACAGTGTGGATACTCAATACTTTTCAACAGACATGACTGCAAGACCAGTCATTATTATGTACATCATACTAAAATTGTGCTGCTATGTACTTTTCGAGATATGCATCAGTCTAGCTCTTACTTGGGCAAGACCCATGAAAAATACTGGAGGAGATGCCACGGAGAAACTCGTCTCCAGTGGTGAATGTAACCAAAACCCTGACTTGTTCCAGACCAACATACAAGAGGCAAAAAAAATCTGCTTGCATCATTTTTGAGAGGAACGTTTGACTTGAAGCCACGCAAGACGGGCAGTTCCGTTGCGACGTCGCCTTTCTGCATGAACTTCGTCTTTTCGGTTGTTGGAACCTTCGGCCCCTCCATCTAGGCTGGATCTTCCAGCGTGAAAATATATTCACTGTTCCCAGGCTTTCTATATAAAAAAATAAGTTCGAATCATTCGACATCCACAATCGAGTCTTGCTTGATGATATTCTCTATTAATATATATACCCCACATATTATGGTTAGCGGAGATTTCTGGTTGAAGGATCTTATTATACCCCCTGTTCATAGTTCGGCTTGCAGAGGCGAAAAAAAGTCTGGGATTTATGGATTTTCATGGTGGATGGTTTAAAACATGCAGCCAGAAAAGATCCAAATGCACGTATGGAGTTATGTTTCACTCGGTCCAGGAGTCGACTTGATTATTCTAATAACAAGAACGAGAAACAGGGTGCTCTATTGGATCCAGCTTGCTGTGGTATGAAGTAAATGTCAGTAGTTGGTGAGCAGTGGGGAGACGAAACAGTAATCAATCAAAGTTCCGACACATCCCCCCGGCCAAAGCTTGGAAAATCCCCTCGAGTTCCATTCTAAAAATGACATAAACAAAGTAGAATTAGCACAGCTTTTTCGTCTTGGGATGGCCTAGGGTGACGTTTTTCTCAAAGGCCAAAGGAGAGTCCCAGCGTCGAGGAATGATGCATACTAATGGATGAACTCCTAATTCCCGCAAAGCAATGCCTTGCACAGTTCATGACAAACCCCCACCCCACGCAACCCTCGATATGCAGGATACCAACAGGCATACGGAGGTACCCCCCAGGACATGCATTGCTGCCCCTCCACCACTTAGGTCCCTGGTAAAAGGCCTTACTCGAAAACGTCGCTTTTATTCGTACGGAAGTATTCCGTAAGTAGACATCTCGGTATGCCCATCTTCAATGATGATGGCCAGGCTGGCTTACTCTTAAAGCACTAATGATTTGGCAATTATATATATGGATGAAGGATAGGCTTCCTACTATATAAAGACTCGGTGAAAACATTCATCGGCCAACTCAAAGACGCATTCCTTCCCTCCATCCGACAAGAACTCAGAGGAGGCAAGACAGAAAATATGCAAGGATCTTCGTGTGCCATCCCACCTCATCCTTCCCTCTTGTGAGTCCGCGACTAGGTGGAGCAATGTGGGGTTAAACGTAATTTACGGTACACGCTACTGAACCATGCACGACGACGCCTCTTGAGTACGGACTCCCTTGTCTTGAGGAAGAAGGTCGGGGTGAGATCAGGGTTCGCAGAGTGGGCGGCGTACGAATCGAGAATAGGGTCGTCGGATTCAACTCACTGAGTCAGGCGATTTGGGGCCAGCAGCGTATGGCATCGGGCGCTGCAGGTTCAATTCTTGAAAAAAGAGTTGTGAGAAGAGCTGCCTTTGGAGCTTGCACCAGCTTGCTTGATGTGGGTATACATTGTCGTTGCTCGCTTGTTGCTCGGCAGAGTTTGCCTCACGGTATGGAGTACCTGTACATGATGGCGTACATACGAGTACGACTACATAGAGTTACAGTTATTAGTACTCCATCTGGAGGTTATTAGTTGAGTTCTTCAACATCAGAACGGGCTAAAGTAGAGGTAAAAATGGGGTTACTTGCTGCTGCCTACAAAATACGGGGGCAGCTACAGATGGGAGTCTTGATATGCTTCGTACTGGTAATAATGACGGTAGCCAAGGTAAGATTGGTCCAAACTCTATTCTCAGACGGTAGTATTTTAGAAGTAGGGCTGGAAGTCAACCCATCTGATCTGAAGCTCCTACAGTAGCCAAGTGGAAGTCACTGTAGTCTGTAGAGCTACGGAAACTCTGATTCAAGCTTAGGTACGGAGGTGTGTTCCCCCTCTGTTGTTTTCATCTTTTTATAGTCGCTTGCGCTCTAGGGGTCGCTTGGCGAAACTCTCATATATTCCTGAGTCTTCTTGCTCTTCTTAAGTTCTTCTCTCTGCTCTAGTAAATTTACTTGTGAAGTCCTCGCTAGCTAATTAATACGGTCTAATTTAGACGCAATACAATATAATTGTAACGCTTTTTTTCCCGTGGGCCGCTTAACGGTGCAGAGCAACCCATCCCTCTGCTTGGGACCGTCACTGTCACTGTGTTGTATGCTTGCACACACCACCACACCCGAAGGCTAAGCCGACGACCATCGGCGTGCATCTGCGATGCTGCTTCGAATTCGGTATTCGAATACAACCACGAACTGGCCATGAGTGGTCCGCGGTGGTCACATCTCTGAATTTCAGTCGTGTCCTGCTCCCAGGTCCACCATGGAGACACATCAGACAGGCTTCGCTTCATTGCCTGCAAACGCCTGCAGAGACCAGCCCAGCTCCTCACGCAGGGTTGTGAGCACTTCTTCCAGGGCGCTCCTAGGCGTGCGGGCCCTGCTGGGTAGTTAAAGATTTGTGGTTCCTTCGGACCAGCCAGTGGCAGCTAGAGAATGCGGAGCCTGGGTGGGCTGAGGGTGGACTAGATTTAGTGGATTGCAGGCCCAAGTTCGTCTACGAAGCTCGCTAAATTCGCCAAAGCACCGCACTGCACCGCGCAGGCGCTCCACCCACGCCGAGATGCACCACCACCCTTCACCAACCCCCCATGCTGATTCTTGCAGCACACTACTGCCTATGCTCGTGCCCTTGCCCATGCCCTGGCCCATGCTAGCGCCAGTCCATGCCCCTACCTGCCCACACCCCACCCACATCACCCTCCGAGGCCTGCGAGAGGGACCACTGACCTGAGGGACCGACCAGAGGCAAAGGCCTGCGACGACGGCGACACTCCGTACGCTATTCACTCCACTAAAATTCCACTGGAGCCACTGCCACTGCCACTGCCACTGCGAGCGCGCTGCCCGCACCAGACCTGGAAGCAACCCCGTTTCTCTACTGGCAAGTTACCGAGTACTTACTCCAAACTCCATCCATTCCTCGACGCACGCCACGACCTTCACACGACACGACCCGACTTGACTTGCCTTTCGTCTGCTCGTCTCTTGGTCTCTTTGACAAGCACAAGCACAAGCACATGCTTCCGCTGCTGCTTCAATAGTCCTCCCGCCGCGATTATCGATTGTTGGGCGTTTCGGTGGCCAGTGCCGCACCATTGTCCGCTTCCCTTCACCGCAGCCTAGCCCAGCGCACCGCCGCCGTGCATCGCGACCTTTCCGTCAGCCTCGACTCGCCGACTCGCTCGCTACGAAAGTGCCCTCACCCTCAACCAGAGGTACTTCCATTTGTACTCAGTCCTCCCGACCACTCGACTTGCATGCCCAGAACCTCGTCGCAAAGCCCGCGAACCCCTGTCGAGGATTGTTCGCAAGGCTCGAGAACGAGGCCCAAATCTCCTCTTCGCGGTCGCATTCCATTCACCAGGACCACCACCACCACTCGGGACTCGGTACATCATCATAATCGCAAGCGGAGAAAGACCCAATACCCCGGAGGAGGTGTGTTACTCCAACAATGTCGGGCGCGACACCACAATATGAGGAGCGTGGGGGGATTTTACGGAGTGTTCATGCTCCCTTTGACACAATGAGCCCAAGTGGACCTTCGCAGTCAAAACCTATACCTTCTACCTCAACTTCGATAACAGAGCACGACTACCGCTTCCCACGTAGACCTGATCACCAACAACATAACGACTTCAACCCGTGCAATAGTAATAGCTCCACCGCAACTTCCGGCACGAGTACCAGCACACTGGACAAGCTGGATCAATCACCAGAAATCAGCGCGCGCAAAGATTTGCTGCGCGAGAGTTTCTTTCCCACGTGGAGAGATGATGCTGCCGGCGAGGAGCTTGATAGCCCAGATGAGATGCAGAGGAAGGATCCCTTAGCAACGCAGATATGGAGGTTGTACAGCAAGACCAAGAAGCAATTACCTAACCAGGAGCGAATGGAGAATCTAACCTGGCGCATGATGGCCATGAGTCTGCGAAAGCGCAGGCAGCAGGAGGAAGCCGCTCGGTATGCTGTAACCAACTCTACCATGCTGGATACTTTTCTGATGTCGAAAAATAGGTTGGCCAAGCAAGCGTCCGCAAGCACTCCAAGTGGAATTGCGCAGTTGAGAAAGTCCTCGGATCACCGACCAACCGCGAATGCGGATAATTCAGATGCGATGAACATCGACGACTTTATCTTCTCGGACAACATTTCAACTCCAGCGGGGCTGGACATGTCTCCCTCCCCAGAATTCACCAAGAAAGAAGCCGATAACGCTACTTATACTGTCGCTTCTGCAATTCCAATCAAAATGCGAAAAGAACCAGTTCAATTCGCTATTCCCCAATCCGTCCCTGCCCTTCACCATAATCCTCGTAATGCCGAAGAATTTAATTATGTGCAGAGACATGTACGAAAAACCAGTATTGATGAGAGACGTGTAAGTACTTATCTTTCGCGGTGACCCTTATCATTGATTTACGATTACGCCATTTGCGATAGCTTCTTGGTTAAGTTTCATGCTGACCCTATATAGCCCCGCAAACGTCCTGCCGATTTCTCTCCACATGTCAATTCAATCATGATACCCAACAACCACGATCACGATGCCGATATCAACGATTATTCCTTAGATCAACCTCATCACCCCGATATGTCACAGCAACCTCATCCTGCCATGCCATTTCAGCTCGACAACTTTAATATGGAGCACGATCCCATAATTACTTCCGCTGGTCCTTTCCAGCAAAGCTTCAACTTTTCTCCCACAAACTCACCCCTGGTCCAGCATGGTCCTTTCTCAGCCATTTACAATCATGCTTCCATGCCCTCTTCCTCAATGAACTCAAATGACTACTACTCGCCCCCCGGAAGTGCTTATCCATCCACCGCTTCAACTCCCCAGCCGATCCCAGAGAATGAACAAATGTATTTCCCCCATCATGGCATGGACATGCGTCCTCCCCGACCACATACATTCAGTCATGGACCATCTAGCTTATCGAATTCTATGGGTCCTCAATATATGTACAACGCAACTGGCGGTTCAATGTTTACTGCCGTTACAAGCGGTGCTGGCCCAAGCAATTCTTACACAGCCCCAGGAGGGTTCAATATGTCGCAACATATCGACCCTTCTCAAGTCTTTCAACCAGAGCAACCAGTGAGATCTCCTGGTGTTCACATGGGCCATGAGAACATGTTTAGTTTTGGAGCGGATTCGGATAATGAAGAAGACGAAGGGGCTGCTTTTGCTGACAGAACTCTTATGATGCAACACGACTTTGCGCAATCTCCAATGGAAGACCCAAATATGGAAATGAGTACTGGAGGGCCCTTACAATGGGATGCTTCTTTACCAGGACAATTTAATACACAGGCCGCCCGGTATCCAGGTGGACCGCCACGAAAACAAGTTACCATTGGAGGTACTGCTGACATGGGTCCATCCCCACTCGATTGGGATGGGTCAGCAGGCTCTCTGGGAAGAACGCATGCCTCAAGTCAGTCCGTAGCGGATAGCAGGAACAGAAATGGGAACGATCGTAGACAAAAGATCCCCCGCACTGCATCGACACCAAACGCGGCAATGATGGGACAACGCGGTGGAAACCCATTTGATCACATGGCACAATCAAATCCCAATTCGCCACCGGATGCAAACAACATGTCAGGCTTCTCTTCGGTCGCTCCTAGTCGGCCATCTTCACCGGGTGGCTCTAAGCATGGTTCTACAACGAATTTGTCTGGTGCTGCAGGTGCGCAGGGTGAGAATGGGGTTCCCACTACCTGCACGAATTGTTTCACTCAAACAACGCCATTGTGGAGGAGAAACCCAGAGGGACATCCTCTTTGCAATGCGTGTGGTCTATTCCTCAAGCTTCATGGTGTCGTTCGGCCGCTCTCGTTGAAAACAGATGTTATCAAGAAACGTAATCGTGGATCGGGCGCTTCTATACCAGTCAGCGGATCTGGCGGAACTTCTACAAGAGCATCAAAGAAACTTGGTAATGCTCCTATAACCAGTATGCCAAACACGAGGAAGAATTCTGTTATCGCGACCTCGAATACAGCTCCAACAACTCAAGCCACCACTCCAACTAGTGTACGAGCTAGAAGTGTCAATGAGAGCCAAAGCCCACAATCTGTTACTGGATCTGCTGGTAATGGCGGCAGCACCGCAGGCAGCACACCTACCTCCTACCATGGATCTGCTGGCTCATCAGTGGGAAACACTGGAGTCAGTGGTGGCAAAGGCGTCATACCAATCGCAGCAGCTCCGCCCAAAGCGACTCCAGGCCCAGGAGCAGCAGCAACAAATATGACAACCAGAACAAATGTGGCGACTACCTCAAAAAGGCAACGAAGACACAGCAAGAGCGTAAGCGCCATTGAAAGCATGGATGTTGATTCTCCCGAAAACTCGACTGGTTCTAACGAAGCTGCCAAGTCAACTGGGATGGGGTTGATGAGCTCCGGTGGTAGCATGACAAACATGGGTCTTGCAAATGGATTTGGAATGAGTACCCGACCCATGGCTCCTAGCATGGCTATGCAGGGCATATCAGGTATGGGCGGATCTTCTGGAATGGGAGCTCCAGGACAGAACGGAGTTGGTGGTGCTGGTACTGGCCCGCAAGAATGGGAGTGGCTGACTATGAGTCTTTGAACGAAAGCATTTCCCGGGGTCTTTTAGGGCTTGTTTTGGATACATGGCGCTTGCACTGTTCCTTGGGAGGTTTCGGTTGCTTTTTTTCCTCCGCGAACGTCTATCACCACTGGGATCTGGGTCGGTACATGTGAAGTTTTTCCTCGTTGATGTGTTTCTTTCTCACGCCTTTGATCTGCACATATACAGGAAGGGGATACTACGTACGGGTTCAGAAGCGGGTTGTCACTATCATGTTTTTTTTTCCTGGCAAGTCTTTGCTTTGCTCCGCTTTGATACCATCGTTGCTCTTTTTCCTTTCCGCTTTTGGATTCCTTGCTGAATTTTCAGCTCGATACTAATCTGTCTTTTGATCCGAGCGACGCCATAATGAAACGATCACGTCTTTTCTCGCAGCAACGATCATGAGCTTCCATTAGCTGTATAGAAATTTCATGGAAGAGGCAGGCATTTTGGCTTGCGTGTTTCTTGATTGTCTGTGTCGAATTCATACTTCCAAAGGGCTTTGTTTGAATGCGCTCGGAGTTTGCGATGCAATATGGGTGCCCTGACATTTCACTGTTTTATATGACGGGTCAATGGGTGGACGGTAATGGAGGGAAGGCTTAGCTGATAAATCTCTTTCTTCGTTCGGATGAAATGGAAATTCTTCGGTTGCTTTACGTTTCAACGAACTTTTGGGGGTGGGTTTTGGGGGGATAACACCCCTTTGGTCTTCTTTGGACTTTTGCGTTGCGTCGTTTTAGCATCTCGTTCTGGGGGGTGAGGGGGCATAGAGAGCATTATGATACCTTGATACCTTTTTTCTTTTCTTTGAATTTTTTTCGTCGAATTCATTCTGGTTTCTCCTTTTCTTTACGTGTGCGAGTTGGGGTTTCTTTTTCTTCTCTACTGGTTTATGAGAGGTGACGTGAATTGTTTGGCTCTTACCTGAGAGTTGAGAGTAGTTTATGGTGGTGGGTGCGACTGTGAACTTTGAGATGGATGACCTTTTCTTTTTTGTATATGGAGAGTGGGTAGAGAGGGGGCTTTGGGTGATAGATAGTTTGAGGTGATGGAGCAAGGGGCTGTTCGGGGCTGGGGTATGGTGGTGTCAGGGAAGGTGGGGTGGGTGCCTCTGGAGTTGTCTAGATAATTGATACGGTGATACATTTGATATCGAACTCATAATTGACATGGTCTGTTCCTCTCTATCTATCTTGATCTCTTGTGAGCGTGAGCTGCCCTGTTTTTTTAAGCTTGGGATATGGTGGCGATGCGGTTGGGTTGGGATGGGAATCAGCGAGTGGCTAGGAGGTTGGTTATTTCTGTTTGAAGTGTTTAAGCGGAGAAGATGTTAAGAAGTTGGGGAAACGGGTGTACCAAGGAGAGTACCCAGAGCTTCCGTTGAAGTTGTGAGTGAGTTATGGAATTTGGGAATAGTCGGGTTTAGTACTATAACTAGCACTAACAGATAAAATAGATACCTTGTAAGTTGTTATTCAAGGCCATTCAACCTATTCTAACAGTCTTTGGCCAAATAGCTGGATTTAGAACTATCAAGGGAATAGGGAGAGCACTGAATTGATGGAAGGAAGTTGGTAAAGTGATGTCGGAGAGATTTATTGTCTGATTGTTGGATTTGGATTTGGATGTGAATACTGTTCTAAAAAGAACCCAGGGATAAAATTGATTAAGGGAAGAAGGGGCGTTGATAGGTAGTTCATGCCTCCCGCACGTATGTGCTTTGAATTTATGGTAGGTAGTAAGTAGGGTAGGCTGGTATGTGGTATGAGCGGAAGAAGTTGTGTATGTGTGTATGTTTTAGTTACCTGGGGAGTATTTTTGGTAGAGTACTTGGGTTCAACGTTCGGCAACTGGAATTCCATTCGGTTCCAGAGCCCTCCTCTGGAAGGATTCCATTCCATTTAGTATATATATAGAAGGAATCCATTCCAGAGGCATATATTCCATGGAATATATGGATTTTCCATATGGAATTCGTCACATGACACGTACAATGTATCCCATCCATGGATGTCCGGTAGGCTATAGGAAGTCCGTTTGGTCGTAATAGCACCTACGTATATATATAGTAGGCGAGAAAGTCCCTAGGAGTACAAATAACACATATGGGTATAGGTAGAGTGCCCTAGGCATATCACGTAAAGGTCCCCATCCATCCATCCTACCTGGATGTGTTATTCACCTGAATATATATAAATATTAACCTGGATATATATAGACATTCACTATAAGTGGAATTCCATGGATTCTATGGAATTTCCAGAGCCTACTAATGGAAGGAATCTTTCCATTTTATATAAGCCCTGGAAGGATTCCAGGTGGAATGGAATGGAATAATTCCATGGAATATGGTTCCATGTGCCGAACGTTGCTTGGGTTGTTCTAGATCTTTTATTTTGAGTTTTCGGTATACTGTGAGAATATACGGCGTTGATTCCTTGAGTTTTTCGGGAGTTTGATTTGAATTTTGAGGGCTGGTGTGTAGATTGGGTATGTTTTGTTTGGTTATTAGATTAGAGTAGGAGGGTATGGGGTTCTTCTGGTTGTTTTGGGGATGGTTGGCTTTTTCTGTAATAAAAAAAAAATAGATGGAAGAAGTTTGTTCTTAGAGGGGGTTACGGAGATGGTTTTTTTGGGATAAACATTTGGCATTTGGACGAAAGATTTACGTAACTTGATCTTTGGGTATTAATCTTTTCTTGGAAATTGAAGTAGTTTGCTTTTTGAAGCTCGAAGTATTCGGTACTTTGGAATCGTGGAGTAAAAGTTCATCGTCTAGTAAGCCTTCGTATGTGTACGGGGGGTTTGGGACCATGGATTTCGAAAGGGATATTGTAAGTAATCCTTAAATAGATCGTCGGATAAATGGTTTTCCTAGGAGAGGGTTTTTAAGAAGAAGCATCTTCGCTTAGTAGAGGTACCTTACTTTGATAACAACTGCCAAAAAGTAAGAAACAGAAGTGATAGGTATTGAAAGCCCGCGTTCAAGATCTTCGTTAATACCAAGTCCGCAAGTTACACGTATGTAAACGAAGAAGAATCGCCTATCTCTCTGGCCTATTAGCATACACGACAGTGGTATATGCCCTCATATGATGATGTGTTGTCTCGAGTTGATAGTCGGATATTATAGTCTTAGGGGTGGAGGGGGGAGTGAAGTATGAAGACTACAAGATTACACGGTAGACCACACACGCTTCCATGAAACGAAAAGAAGCAGAGGTAACCTTCCCTAGATAAGACAAATGATTCTTACCATTATTCCATACATATGTTAGAAATGTATATAAGTCCTCCCAAAATAAGCCCCACTAACTCCCCAGATCCATCCAACCAATCCACGCCATACTCCATATCGTCAATCAAGACCTCATTTAGAAATACAAATCCACCATCATACATATCAAACCCCACTAACACAATGCAGCCAAACTATCCCTCCTCCATTTACTGTCTTCTGAGCATGCCTCGCGTTCCTGACTACGACTACCAGACGCCTCCCTCTCCTTCTCCTCTGCGAAATCCCTCCTATCCCCAACAAGCTCCACAACCTCAACAACTTCCTGGGTATGTTCGTACTCAACTTTGATAGTGTTTGGCGGCACTCCCCCTCGTATTCCATCTCCATCTTCGTCCTCATCAAAATCATGACTCGCAGCTGTCACAAGCGTTGTCACCCCTCCTTTCCGCATGTAATCGCTTAGTCCAACCTCGAAATTCTCGATATCTGGGTGAGGTGTTTGGGTACGTCTGGGCCGGGAGGAACGCGAGGGCGGCTGTTGATTGGGAAACGAGGGATGAGATGGAGTGGTGGAAGCGTTGTCTTTGGAGGTTACCCAGTGGAGGACGAGGACTGTGAGGAGGACTGGATGTATGAATTAGATGTGAATGGAATGAGGGCTAGATGGAGACTTGCTATCGAGGTTACAACACATGAGACATATCCATCCCGGCTCACCCTTCAGGGCAGCTACTACTGCCAAGTTGCTAACAGTATTAGCTTAGGGTTGGTTACTGGGAGCGAAAGATGTCGATTCTTACACGAGACTTGAAATCAAAGATACGGTGCTGCCGACCAAGGTACGGAAGGCAACAGTACGTACTTTTGACTTTTGACTCTTCTTGAACGACAAGAGCCCTATCTGAGTTAGTGACTAGTTCGAACCATGGCATTAAACGTCACTTACCTGAAAGCGGAGCCAGGAACTGCACCGTCAAAACACACTACCACGCATAATTAGTGAGCGTTTCCCCGGGTTATTACGAGATCAAGGACTACATACATTGACGAAAAAGTCGACGAGAATCAATGCAACCATCGGCGCTGTTTCCATGCCGATTCTGCATTCCCCGTTGTCAAAAGTCGCGAAGCGGCTATGGTAGGTCAATATGTGAAGTCAATTTCGATCATTCCTTGCGTCTTACAATACGACATTAAGCACAACGACGACGATATATGGAACTGGTAATTGTCAGTTACATGAATTAGCACATCCCATAGGTATAAATTACCGATGGCGAAAAGAAAATTGAACCTGTATCTGCCATCTCTCCATCTGGGTTTCCCTGGTCGTCGAATGATGTACTAGAAGAATCAAATAAGTGATATAACAGGCGAGGATATGGAAGGGCTTACCACGCGTTCAACCAAGAAATAATAAATGAACTTTCAAATCAGCATGGAAACCTCCTGATTTATATCTGAACACTCAATCACATACCACCTATAGACTGTCAGCATCGGTGAACGCTAAGCACAGCAAGATTGTAGCAATACCTTTGTTGTCATATAACAGGCTAAACAGAGAACTATCGCGTCCTTGCAAATCCTAGGAGAGGAGTCGACTCCAAAACCATGAGAAATTATCGAGCTTCCTATTGCAAATATGATCGAATCGATGTAAATGGCCAGAATCACTGAACCGGCATTAGCAAACTTGTTCTGTGATCGTATCTAGCGATACTCACACCAGCATACGGGAGGCAGTCTTCTCCATTTCCGGAGACCTTCTACTCTGCGGGCTGATACAATCGTCAGTCTGCAATCCAACGGCCGTTCGGTCAAGACTCACATAGGCAAACCGAAAGTGTAGCTATCGAGAGCATAGATATGACTAGAGACACTATATTCGCGGACCTTGTTTCTTTTCCCAGGTAAACCATTGTGACGGGGCCTGTTTGCGGACGGATGTACAGAAACTGTGTGGGATGGACAATCCTGCTGGTGGAACTTGCAAATCCAGCAGCGACGGTATACCAAAAGTCACACCAATCCAGAGTCGACGAAGACGCAGGATCTCTTTAGTATGAAGGGTGGAGGGGTGTGACAAGTATGAGCTGTCTCTTTTCGCATATATCTCCACACAACACAAACCCATTCAGATAGCGAGGGCGAAAAAGAAATATAAGGTCCAGCCCGGGGAAAAGAATAAGTGTATTGTGGCTGTGGCTTCGGGATTCAGCGAGATCGAGAATGAGACGCGTGAACAAGCCCACACATTGTTAAAGACAAGGTTTCTTCTGATAGATGGTCGAGTAATCGGAAATGTAATTCGAGCATAATTAAAGATATTTTCAAAGAAAAGAACACAGGAGGTCACCAGGAGGTGGCAACATAAAACGTCGTGGAAGATACTCAAAAGTCGTGAGTATGCAAAAAAGACAATAAGAGAGTAAGAGGACTTCATGGTTGGTCAATGGCAGCAGCCACAATCAGCCACGACATTATCAGGATTTTCTTTTTTAGGAAATCCCGTGCATCACTACATCTGGGTGGCTGTGATCGACCTCAGGAGTGTCCAAAGACAGAGTCTTGACTCCTCCTTGCTTGGTAGCTCATCTCGTGCATGCAATGCAAATGCGACAAGTGGCTTCTCGCGAGTTGGAAAGGACGAAATTCGACGAGTTAATGAGGGGAGCGTGGTATCAGTGGAACATGAGAAAGGTACTGCACTGTAGTATTGCTTTTGTTCGACCGAGTCACGGCACGTCACCCGAAAGGAATATGCTGTGCTGCTGTTCTTCTGAACATAGGACTCGAGTTTTCGTGAGCTTGTCTGAAAATGATGACCGTTGATGGTCGAGATTCGGGGGAAGTGACAGGTCCTTATAGGTATTGTATGCATCACGATCACGTTTTTGACACCTGGGTAAAACATGGGCATTTGCAGTCTCACTTTAGCATCCTGGTGTCTGAGAATTTCCTTATGATTGATCTGGTCTGGGTCACAAAATTGAAGTCACAAGCAAGAATGGCTCGTCACGTTTTTGTCATCAAGCCCCCTCCCCTGCTCCAGAAAACGCGGTTCGTTTTAATCGGGAAACATGAATATTGGCAATCAATTTTCGATATGTTATGCCTATGACTGCCAACCTTGTCTCTAGCCAGTCCATTTCGTTCGTATAATCTTCCCCTTCCTTCCTGCTTATTAATCCCGGTCGATACCTTCTTTCTTCCACATTTTTTGTACGTTTTCTCAATACCGGTACGTAGTTCCTTCCTAGAGTACAGTAAGTTGATCTGTCGGGCTTGAAGCGGTGGCAGGGATTTGACTGTAGGGTCCGAGATCCTATGCATTGGGTTTCGGACATAAGAGAACGACCTGCACGAGAGACTAACACTTTAAAAAGTGCAGTAGAAATCAATCAATCGACAGTCGAATGAAGTCGGAATAAATTCACTGATCGCAATCGCAAGTACGTCTGACGTCCCAGTTTTCTAGTTGGATAAATAACGCTAATTCTAGTACTTATATTTTCTCGCTTAGCGTATAGCACCTCCCCACATCATCAACAAAGTTACGAGAACTATTTAACACCGCATTACTTCTAGAGAGATGGAGATGCTTAAAATAACTTGTTTCATCACAAGGACCAATTGTATGTTTTCTTTTAGACGTTGATCTCAAAACTTGACGCGCATATCCACCTTAAACCCCCTTAAAAGCGGAGTGATCGTTTTTCAAATCTGGGTCTCTTCGGCCACCACCTCAAGACCAAATGCTGTACTACCAGCGCCTACGGCTGAATATTTATCATATAGAGCAAAGGAATGTTCCACGACCTTACTATCTTTTACGAAAACTTCCTCCCACTCTGCGGTGATCTTCGCTTTGTCGCGTATCTCTGGGTATCTCCTACGACGAGAGCTTGAAATTCAGGATCCGTAAAGATTGCTGATATATCACTCTTTGTACGTACCCAAACATTAGTCCAAAACTTTCTGCTGTTATGAATTCATGTAAATGTTGTTTATCTGACTTGAGGTGGGGTTGCGAGTTCTAACTACCACCAACTTCACCGATAACACCTTGTAGGACTTCCAATATTAGAACGCCGGATTAGGAACACTAACTAGGTAAAATTGGAATATTTTACACCACTTATATAAGGTCATGTTTCTACGCCGAAGTCTACATTAAGGAGAATATGATAAGTTTTGGCTAGGAGGTCTATTCTTGTAACATATTAAAAATCCTAATACTAGCTTTCTTAGAGGTATTTATTTATTTATTTCTATTTAACGTCAAGCGGATTCTAGCTCGCGTGGGCTAGGTCCTAAAGAGTCCCAAAATAGGGCAAATGACGCTAGGGGGGTGCCCTAGGCTACAGGGGGTGTAAACGGAAAGAGCTAATTTACAAGAGACAGTTTAGAGAGAAGCTCCACTTTCGGAACAGCCCTTATCCTTAATTAGTTCTAGAACCAGGGTAACAACAAAGGAGATATTTAATAAAAGGAAAAAAGAAAAGAGAAATAAAAGAAGGCCTGTCTATCTAG